CATCTCGAGAGGAGGCCACTTGTGCGGCGGCGGCGGCGTGTCGCCGCGCCGCCACGCTGCCGCCGCGTCCTCGACCACCGCGCCGCCGCCGGAGCACGCCGCCGCCGCCTCGACGAGCTCTCCCACCAGCTCGACGGCGACGCCCTTGGCCTAGTCTCGGCTCACCCCGGCTCATCCCGGCTCATCTCGGCTAGTCTCGACGGCGGCGCCCTTCTGCCTTGCGCGCGGCTGCGGCGCTGCTCGAAACGAGGCCTAGAGGGCTCGGGGAAGGCGGCTAGAAAGCGGCTTCTGCGAGGCTGGTGGCCGCCGCTGGAGACGACGACCCTGACGCTGCAGCCTTTCGGCCTCGACGGCGAGCTTCGCCTTTCGGCCCCACTCGCTCCAAAGCGCGGGCGAGAGCAGCGCGCGCTGCGCGTGCTCGACCTATAAGAAGGCGCGTACAAGGCTCCTGGTAGGCTCAGCCGGCGAGAGCAGCGCGCGCGTGCTCGTCCGGCACAGACTGCTCGGCTGATCTCGGCTGATCTCGGCTGATCTCGGCTGATCTCGGCTAATCCCGACCAAGACCAGCTGCTGCTCGAGGGACGCGCCCGGCGGCTGCTTGTCTAGCAACGCGCGCGCCGCAGGCAGCACAAACTCGGCGTGCAGCACCTGAAAAGGAAGGTTCCTGGAGGCTTCCTAGAGCGCTCCTAGAAGGCCGCAGCACAAGCTCTGCGTGCAAGCACCTTCTCCTCCTCGCTCAGCTCAAAGGCAAACGTGCGCGCTACCTGCTTGGGCGCACCTCGGCTAGACTCCGGCTGGCCTCAGCTGATCTCGGCTGATCTCGCTCGGCTGCATCTCGGCTGACCTCGGCTGACCTCGGCTGACCTCGGCTGACCTCGGCTGCATATCGACTGACCTCGGCTGATCTCGGCTGACCTCGGCTGATCTCGGCTGATCTCGGGGTGGCGCGCCTGCTTGGGCACGCGGATCTGACTCCCGACCTGCTCCTTGGTGCGCCGCAGGAAGAGCGGCCGCAGCACGGCGCGCAGCTCGTCGAGATGACCACCCTCGACCGCGCGCCTGCCCGAGCCCCAGAGCGACAACTGTGTCTCGGCCATATCCCGGCCATATCTCGCCGAGACGGCCGCCCTCGGCCGCGCGCCTCCAAACCGCCTCCAGCTGGCTCGCCTCGCCCGCCACAAAGTTGATGAGGTGGCGGATGTCGGCCAGCCGCCCCGCCTCCATCGGAGTGCCCGACACGGCCCAGCGATGCACGGCGCGAACGAGCCGCACCGTCCTCCCCGCCGCGTACGACGTCGGCGCCTGCGGGACGTGTCTCGGACATGTCATGGACGCGTCCTCGACATGCACCCGTCCCTCCCGCCGCGTGCGTCGTCGGCACCTTTTGCACCTCGTCGAGGACGACCCGCCAAAAGGTGAGGTACTTGAGCGGCGACGGGCGAGCGTCCGAGTCCGCCTCTCTCGCGCGCAGCCCCAGGCCTGTGGACATGTCTCTCACATGTCACAGGACGCGTCCTCGACATGTCCGCCCGGCGAGCGCGCGGCAGTCAGGCCGGCGCGGCGCTCGCGGCTGCTCTCAAAGAAGCGGTCGATGTGGACCAGCTCCTTCATCAGCACCTCGTACGTCGCGAGCACGACGTCTGCCTCCGCGAGCCGCTCGACCTATCGCCATGTCTCGGGACATGTGAGCGACGCGTGTCCCGGACATGTCATGTCCGCCTCTCCGCTGGCCACTCGACCTAGCGGAGGGCGCAGCCTTGCTGTGGCGGGTACAAGGCGGGCTGTGCCGGCTGCTCCATCCTCGGCTGCACCTCACGCGCGACAGCCGCGGCGTCGCCCGCCGCAGGGCATCCCGCAAAGCTGACCACCTACACAGGAAGCGTGCTATAGAAGGTCCGAGCAGTGCCTAGAAGGCGCCGGGATCAAAGCGGACCACCTTCAAGCCGGGCGCGTGCCGCGCGAGCTCCTCCTTCCACTGCCCCTCGATGACGGGCGTGCAGCAGATCAGAGTCGCGCCGCACTTGCGTGCCTCCGAACCGAGCGGCCGCTGCGCTTGCAGCGGCGCTTGCGGCTGCCGCACTTGCGGCCGCAGATCGTCGCAACGGTGGCTGGCGACGAGCGCGGCGCACATAACCGTCTTGCCAGTGCCCTGCTCGTCGCCGAGAATGCCGCCGTGGATGCCGTCCAGAGCTCGCTCACGTCCAACCATCCACTGGAGCGCCTGCAGCTGGTAGTGGTAGAGCTGCAGGTCGGCAGCGAGGCCGGCGTCGGCCGGCTTAGCGGCGGCCGCCAGGGAGGAACCATCGTTGATGGTGTCAAGAAAGTTGGGCGGGACGAGCGGACGCTGGCTCGACGGGACGAGCGGGCGCTGGCTCGACGCGGGGCGGGAGAACTCGCGGCTGCTTGACGCCATTATGCGCACGTTTTCTTCTGCTTGTAAAATTCTTTTTGAGGATCAGCGGCGCACAGCCTCGCGCTGAGATAGGCCGGAGCATTCCAGTTGCCGTCGCGTCACTCAGGTCCCGCGTGTGCAAATGTGCGTGGACGTGGAGGCGCGGCGCGCGAGCATGTGGGACGAAGGTTTCGCCTCTGGGGGGGCGCGGGGGCCCTAGAGGGTACCCATGTGGGGGGGAGATGGGGTCCCACGGCCCGCCGCAGGCGCCGATTTTTCGGCATTTTTTTTCTTTTTTCGCGCGATTTTTTACTTGTTCATGGGAATTCGGCGTATTGCGGCCATGCTATCACGCCTTGCGACAGCCTGTCGGCGCTGCTGACCGTGCCCTGCTGCACAATTGATCACCTGCATAGCTCGCGGCCTTAGTATCAAGCATTCAGTGACGACCTGATCGTACGGCCAGTAGGAAGGTGTCCTTCCAACGTGTGCACGCTTCTGGCGCAATCAATGCGCGTCGCCTCGGATTGGCTGCTGGCACTCTCGAGGCTATGCCTACGCACGCTCGCGCGCATGGGCAGTCAAGAGGGACCACGCACCTTCTCAGGACAGCGCCGGTACCTCTCTCTTGGACCGGCAAACTTGGTGGTCTCGTGTCACCAATGTGGGACCAGTGCGGCATCGCGCCATCGACAGCTCTGAACTGCGCCTCACCACCGACCGGGAAGGCCGCCAAGTGGGCCAGCACAGGTCGCACATTGTGGCAGCAGTCAGCAGTGCATGTCTGATAGCTAGAGCAGCAGCGTCATGGTCGCAGGGTCGGATCGTGTCAAGCCTCTCGCCCGGCCGGCCGTGTGCAGACGTCGGCCTGTCTGCTGTCTGGGGTGATCTGTCGGCGGTCAGTACGACCGATCAGGTTGGAGTTTTCTGGTGGTTGGAGGGTCTATCTGTGTGTACTCCTCGAGATCTCTCCAAATATGCCCTCTAATCAACCGTGTAATCATTCGGGAAGTTGGTGCTAACGGAGACTAACGGAGCCGGGGCCCCGCGTTTCCGCACTGCGGCGCGGCGCACGGTGCCTCCGGGGGCCCCCGCGCCCCCCGCTTACTTACTCAGGCACCATCCGAAAGAGAATTTTACAAGAAAGCTCCCTCGCACGACACTGGGCACGGGACTGGCGTTGGTTTTCTAAAATCTCGCACTGGCACTAACACAAAACACAAGGTACACGGAAAGAGAATTTTACGAGAAAACTCTCTCTCACGACACTCAAAACTAGGCTTACTAGGCACGCGCACGGCACTGACTGGCGCGCACTGGTACTAACACAGGCGAGATAACTGCGAAATGCGAAAAGGTAAGAGATATCGAGAGATAGACGTGACAAAGTACCGGCAAGCCAAATAGAGGCAGTCACCTGGTGCGTTACCTTAGCCACGGTCGTCGCTGGTCTGCCCGGTCTCCGAGTCTAGGTCCTCCGAGCCACGGTCGCTGGTCTGCCCGGTCTCCGAGTCTAGGTCCTCCGAGTCTAGGTCCTTGCCCGAGCCGTCGTTCGAGGGTGGATGGAACACGTTTTCTTGCACGGTCATTACCGCAGTAACTGCCGCCGTGGGGTATTCGTTGACGCCGCTTACAAAATTGCTGGCCAGAGAAGTAGATGCAGTATCGTAACACTTCACATAGAAGTTTGCCGTCTGCTCGTTATTGACTATCTTGGCTTGAAGAGAAGTAGCCGATGCAGGGAATAGATCCCCTGCACTAGCTCCAAACGCGCAGTCAGCTTTGTCTTCTTTGAACACGAGGTTGACAGTGGTGTCACCCACAGACGGTACATTCAGGGCAACTTTGAAGCCTTTTGCCTGCCCCTGGACCAACTCAGTGCTGCCGGTAATGGCTGTACCATCAAAGTTCGTGATTGAGATAGAACCCGTTTGGGTGGTTGCAACCATCCATCCCTTAGCTTCAAAATTTAGATAGGACCATTCCCCAAGAACCTGAACCGCCGAAATTGTACCTTCTGTTGGTGCCGCGGAGGAGCAGTTGACAAAAAGCGCTTCATTCTTTTGGTAAATGGGAAAATTCAGTGTGAGTTTTTCTTTGAAACCGCCCGTAGATGATGTTGAGAGTTTGCAGGCCCCGTCGCCGCTGTAAGTGAATTGTATTGCAATAAGTGCAGCCGGTGCTTTCGACAAAAATGCATTCAGTTGCATCACCTGTCCTTTCATGACGCTCTTTGGAAGTTCTGCCTGTTCCGAGGCCTTGCACCGTTCCGTGATAAACTTCTCGACGTAGTGGCCTGGACACAATGAGACCCTGATCGTGCCGGGAGAGGGGCGATAGGAGCTTGCGCCAGCGCCTTCGTCAAAGTCTCCATTAGATTGGGCAATCGATTCTGCGCCAGCGGCCTCGTCAAAGTCTCCATTCGATTGGGTAATCGGATATGCTTGCCCGTCGACGACTGCCGCACTGTTTTTGACGCTCGCGGAGTCCGGGGAGTCCGTATCAGAGAGCCGGTGGGGGGCAGGCGCGAGGGTGCAACGTGTCCCGAGGTACTGGACGCAGGTCGAGCCATACACTTCAAAACCGCAAATCGCCCCGTCCGCGCGTGCCTGATCGCAGCATGTGGTGACGCCGTTCTCCGTCTCGTAAGAGCTCGTGTACCCCGCCACCGTCTCGCCTTCGTAGAAGGTTGTGTGGCCCTCACACGTGAAGGGCAGCCTCGGCAGCGCGTCGGACGGGAGGCTCGAAAATGCTTGGGCGCCCGTGAGCAGGAGGCAGCTCACAGAGTCAATCATCAGTCACACCTCTCACCTGCGAGCGTGCCCGCTTGGTGGGTCGGCTGTGTACCGCGCTGGCGCTGGCGCTGGCGGCGGCGGTACGGGAGCGAGGCGGTGTGGCCGGGGGCGATGTGCCTGCTCGAGCGTTGCCCCAGGCCACGTTCCCGGACGCTCCGATGCTCTTTATGTCCAGGCTTGTATTTAAGAATTCTCCCGTGAGTGCTTCACGGAAACCTTCTTCCGTGTCCAGGTAAGGTAAGGTACACGTAAACGGCCTCCAGGTAAGGTAAGGTAAGGTAAAGTGAAGGCCCTGAGTGTCACAGGCAGGTACACCACGGAAAGAGCATTTTACCTAACTAAAAAGAAAGAAAGGAAACAGGCAACCCAAGGGAGGGACATGCACTTAGGAGGTCCATAAACAAACAAAGTGCAGAGTAAGGTCATGCTCATGGAGCGAGCCGAACACGTGCCGTTGTCGCGGGGCTGCGCCTCGACGCCGCGCGCTGTATGTGCCCCTCGCCGGTGCGAGAGAGGTGCTCACCAGCGCCGGCCGATCTCGGCCGATCCACCCGAACCACTACTCGGCCCCGCGCGGAGACGCGGCCGAGCTCGCCGGAGCGGTGGGGGCGGTGGGAGAGGTGGGAGAGGTGGCAGCTAGAGAGGCGAAAGCCGAGGGGGGGGGAGAGGTGGCTGCCGAGGCAGGGGAGTCGCCGTCGCCCTCGTCGTCGGCCTCGCTTTGCGAGCGAAGCAAATGCCGGTCTGCGCCGCGCGCCGCGCCCGCGCCCGCCACCATGTCGAGGGAGGGCGGCAGGTCGAGGACGGACTTTGGCGAGGTGAGGCTCGACTCGTCCTCGCAGCTCGGGCCGCACGGCAAGAGGCAGAGGCGCAGCGGCCCGCCGAACGACTTGCCGAATGACCGGGCGTCAGCCGCGGGGGTCCGCGGCGGCGCGGGGTCGTCTCTCAGCCCTGGTGCGAGGGTGTGGAACCAGCGGCTCGCCTGAGAGAGGGGGGGGGGGGTACAGCTCGAGAGCGTCTTCTTGGCTTCGAAGCCCACAACGATCGCTCTCAGAGCGAGGCTTCTCTCGGTGTGTGTGTGTGAGTGAGAGAGGCGACCCGCCAAAGTGTCTCTCAGAGGTCGGGAGGGCACACAGCGCGGCGCGGCGCGGGTGAGGCACACGCATGGGCACACACCTGCACGTCCGCCATCGTGAGGCGCGTGGACGGGTCGACGAGCAGCATCCCGTCGAGGAGCGCCTAAAAGAAAGAAAGAAAGATAACAGACAACCCAAGGGAGGGATGAGGAGCGCCTGAGCGGCGCGGACACAGATTCGTTCGGGAGTAGATTGAGGTCGTCTTTACTCGACGTCTGACGCCTTTCGGATGCTATTCCCTTGCGGAACACTGGGGGGGGGGGGGATCCCCCCCCCCCCCCCCCCCGCGCCGCCGCCGCCGCCGCGGGGCTCTGCAAGCAGTTGTGGGGAGTTCGCGCTTTGCGGGAGAGGGTGCGTCGCGCTCCGTCAGAGCCGGCGAGAGCTGGTCCTCGCGGCGGTACAAACAAAGGATGGCGTCGACGGACGAGCGGCGATCCAGCTGCGCGCGCTTGAGCGCCTCGAAGCGCGGGTCCTTGTCGCTGGCCTGCGCTCCGTGCGGGGAAGAGGCCCGATCTTTGGTGGTCTCGGGTAATCTCGGGTGCCGTGCGATCTCGTTCTCATCGCTCGCCTCCTCCACGGGGAAAATGCCGAGCACGAGGGCGAAGAGGCACACGCCGAGCGACCAGACGTCCGCCTGCTTGCCGTCGTACCTGCGGGACATGTCGGGGACGTGTCGTGGACACGTCTAGGAATGGCCGCCCCCGCTTCTGCCGTCGGTGCCTCTGCTCGCGGCTCGCGGAGATCACCTGTCGAGGCGGAGAGAGAAGGAGGCGGCGGCGCAGAGGCGTGAGGCGGCGAAGGCAAAAGGGCGATGGAGGGGGGCGTGAGTCGGGGGGGGGGGGGGGTCCCCTCCGGAGCGGCGTACGAGCTCGTGCCGCAGACGCAGGAGCACGTGCGCGAGAGGGGCGCACGCCCTCGCTCGAGGCAGCCCGGAGGGGCAGCCGCGGAGGGGTCGAAGTGCGCGACGTCGAAGTCGATGATCTTGACGTGCGAGCTGCCCGCCTCGGTGAGGAGCATGTTATCGAGCTTGAGGTCGCGGTGCGCCACCCCGCGCGAGTGCATGTGGACCACGCCAGCAATCACGCCCGCGAGAAGCTCTCTCGCGCGCTCCTCGGGCACCCGCCCGCTCGCCAGCTCAAGCAGCTCGCCTCCGCCCACCGCCTCGGTCACGAGGATATCGTACCCCTTCGCCGTCCTGCACGTGTCGAGGAGCATCACGATGTTGGGATGGCGGCCCACTCGCGCCAGCGCCGCCACCTCCTCCGGCTCCCTCTCGTCTCCAGCCCTGCGAGGGACCATCTTGATTGCCACCTCGCTCCCGTCAAGGCGAGAAATTGCATGGTGGACGGGCCCGTTGCGGCCGACCCCAAGCGTTCGGCCGGAGAGGACGTAGGGGCCCACGCGACGAGGCCGCGGCCTCCTCCGCTCCTCCACGCGCGTGGGCTCGCCCATTTGGCCAACGCAGGAGGCTTGAGCTAATGAGCTAAAGCAGGCTGTAAAGCGAGCCGTTGCCATTGATGATGAGTCGCCGAAATTCACGTGTTTTCTTTCGGGTCGTCCTTGCGAAAAGAAATCGGACGCCATTTTTTCCTCGCACGGCTCCGCGCCGCACCCCGCCAGAGCTCCCGCCCTGGACCCATTGCAAAAATCTCTCTCTCTGTGTGTGTGTTTTCCGTCCAGAAACAAGTGCAAATACAGAGAGAGAGAGAGAGAGAGAGAGAGAGAGAGAGAGAGAGAGAGAGAGAGAGAGAGAGAGAGAGAGAGAGAGAGAGTTTGTCAAATACACGAAAATACACGTCTTTTCCAGCCCAGGTTCAAATACACAAAATACAGACTTAACATCTAGGCTCGGTACATGCCCCCGGGGGGGGCCCCGGGGGGGGGGGGGGGGTTAACCCTCGGTGGCGGCGGCCTCCATGGGCCACCCTATATCGCTCTGTGTTTGCATCAGCAGCCAAGAAAACACCCTCATACTCCCTAGGCGCTAGGGTGCTTTGGGGCGCCCCAGGAGCGCGCTAACGTACTTGACGCGAAAAGTGTTACCTTACCTTACCTTTAGTAGAGTACGTCCCGGGAGCCGAAGCCGCTACCCCGCATCTCGCCGCGGACGATCGCCGGGCCGATTACACCACGATGCTCGGCCAGATGAATCGGTTCGGGATAGAGCCTCGGCCCTTTCTGCCAAAGAAGGGTCAGGCCCTTATCTGGCACTCAGGGCTGGTGCATGGCGGCTCGCCAGTCAAAGACCCGTCAAAGACGCGCAACTCCTTCGTGGTGCATTACAATGCCCTTCGCAAGAACCGGCCCGAGACGGGTATGTAGCACTGCGAGGCATTCTCCAAGCTCGGTCTCTGGCGTCGCAGCTGCACAGAGAGCGAGCAATAGTCGACAGAAGCACTGATACGTGCGCAGGCAGCGGATCATCATGTTGGTCGCGCCATGCGAGAGGACAACCACAGGCCGCAGATCTTGCTCGGACGCGGACCCGCCGTGCGCGTTGCAGATCCGGAGGAGGCCGACCCAGCTCACACCCAGAGCGGCCATGCCCAAGGGTCAGCCATGTGGGGCCTTTTGGCCAAACTTTTACGGCCTCTGTCGTTTCACCAGTGCCGACAAAGTGCCACCAATTGTCGCCACATATCAGTGTTGCGCCGGTTGCGCAATCACTAACCATTCAGAATTAACGCGGGGTCTCGGCTCTATCGAGCCATGCCAGCTCCAGCCGCAGCCCCACCCGGCCGCCCGAGGGTATTCGCAGGCAGAGAAGACTAATCCTGGTGGAAGCAACCTGCCACCAACTCATCCAAATGGAGCCCTGTGATGTGGGACCTCACTCCCACGGAAGCTTGGAGCTTCAGGCCGCGACCACGTGGCCAGGTGGACACTAAAGTGCCATTTTGGCGCCAAATCTTGGCGCGAAATGACACGTGGCTTGGCGGGAGTGTGGTGTGGGCGGCGCCGCTCGCCAGCGCTGTGCTGTTGAGCGCCAGCCAGCTGCTGCTCCCTTCTCAGCCAGACGGTCGGGCCTGCGCAGCACGACCGCTGGCCTTCCTCCTGCACCACAGGAGCGCGCCAAGGCGCGCGTCTGGGCAAGCAGTGCGTCTCATCGCGATGCGAGAGTCGACGCTGTGTGTGACTCCGCCGCTCGCCGGCTAGAATGACAGTGGCAGCATTCGAGTACGCGTCGAGCTGTGCGTACCAGCACTTGTATTGTACTCTCTCTCTCCTCACTTGTATGCGAGCTTATTGTGTCCCTGAGCTGCTGTGGGGTGCGTGGGCTCAGCTGCGGAGCACGTACTGGGAGGCGGCAGGGGGGTGCTCCTACTAACTTTTGCAGGGTAGGTATTCACCCTTGGGTTTCTTGCCGTCGTTCCTTGGGCGGGGTACCCAAGGGTGAAGGGCGCCAAAAAAATCCCTGCGCCGTCTCTCCCTTGTCATCCATGACCCGGCACGCTGAGAGCTCCGAGTTCCTCGCCGCGGCCAAGACAGAAGCTGCGCGAGCGGTCGAGCACCGTAAAAAGGTGCTCGAACACGTCGGAGCCGAGGCCTTCACCGTCGACGACTTCCACAAGGAGGAGCCGGGCGACTGGAAGCACACGACCGGGCGTTCCGACGTGACACCGGCGGAGCTGCAGCTCGGCAAGCGGTGCCACGGCGCGCATGTCGAGACTCTGTCCGCCGACATCACGCCAGCGGGCTCGCACTACCTCCTCATCCACTTTGACGTGCCGCTCATCGACCCGAGCGCATACCGGCTCAAGATCCACGGCCTCGTCGACAAGGAGGTGAGCCTGTCCCTCGCCGACATCAAGAGGCGGAAGGCACAGACCGCCTCCGTCCTCATGGCTTGCGCCGGCAACGGGCGGATGGGCCTCACGGAGCGCTTCACCTCGCACGTGCCTTGGGGCCCCGACGCGTTTGGCTGGTGCTTGTTTCGCATCCCGCACTGCTCCGTCCCTCGCCTCACCGCGCCCTCCCAGCTTACACTCACGCGCCCTGCTTCACCTTGCTCCCATACCTCACACCTCGCCTCCTCCCATCAGCGCCGACTGGACGGGCTGCTCGCTGGCGGAGCTGCTGCAGGAGGTCGGCGTCAAAGACGGTGCGGCGCAGGTCATCTTCACGGGCGCGGACAAGGGCGTCGAGTGGAACACCGTCGACTACTTTCGCCGCTCGCTGACGGTCGAGCAGGCGATGACGGGCCACGTGATGCTCTGCTGGCAGATGAACGGCGCGGACGTTGCTGCCACCTCACCCTCACCCTAAACCTAACTCCAACCCTAACCCTAAGCCCAGCCCTAGCCCCGACCCCGAGGTCGTTCAAGCGGCGGACAGTTAAGGCGTCCGGTGGCTAGGCGCGGACTTGCTGCCGTGCCACGGCGCGCCGGTGCGGATCATCGTGCCGGGCTGGTACGGCATGGCCTCGGTCAAATGGCTCACCTCGATCGAGATCACCTCGGGCGGCTGGTGAGGGGCCCTAGAAGCGGCTAGAAGCGGAGAAAAGACTCGCGTACTCCAGCTCTCACCACTCGAGAGGGCGCGCATGCAGCTGTATTCGGCCGCCGTCTCGCGTATGCAGTCGTATTCGGCCGCGCGTACTCGGCTCGACCTGACGTTGGCGTACCTCGCGACGCAGGTGGGGGACCGAGATGGACGTGTACTGCTACCGCCGCTCGCGGCTCGACCCGACGCCGCTGCCGATCGAGCAGCTGCCCGTCCGCGCGATGATGGCGCCGCCGGGCCACCCGGACTTTTACTCGCGCACGCGGCTGCTCGCGCCGGGCGTGGTGCGCGTCCGCGGCAAGGTCTGGCCCTTCCCGAGCCTCGCACCTTCAATGCCGTGCCAGCTCCTCTCTGCAGACGTGGAAGTCGCGAGGGATAGCCTGGCCCCACCGCCTCGTGTGTGTGGAGCAGCTCACCTGGCCTTGCCGTAGGTCTGGGCCGGCGCCGTCGACATCGACTACGTCGAGTTTTCGAGCGACGGCGCAAAGACGTGGCAGAGGGCAGAGGTGGGCGACAAGTCGGGCGCCTTTGGGTGGGCCGCGTGGCACTTTGACTGGGACGCGAAAACGGAAGGGTCGTACGTCCTCTCCTGCCGCGGGGTCGACGCCGCCGGCCGGACGCAGGACCCGCTCTGCGACGACCAGTTCAACTACACGGGTGCGCATATACCCGGGGGGCGCGAGGGGACCCGAGAGGACCCGAGACGTACGCAGAGACGGATCAATTGAGCAGTCACTCTCAAGACAGACTGCTGATAGAGACACCGCCGAGGACCTGCGAGCAGCCTCTCTCCACCTCTCTCCACCCGCCCCTCCGCACCTCCGCCCCAGCGTCTCCGCGCGCCCGCCCGCACCACCTGCCAACACGTCCATGGCACGCCTCCGACGCCTCTGCTTCCGCCCCGTCCGAAGGCATGGGCTCCACGCAGCCGCAGCTGGTCTACGTCCGGGTGACGGCGGACATCGAGACGGTTGGAGGCAGCATCAACCTCGAGGTGGAGGAGGAGGCGGCCAAGAAGCCGGAGGTGATGGAGAAGGCGCAGTGGGACGGCCTCTACCGCGCACCTGGCAGCCAGTAGCCCGGCTTGAGCCGACGACTGTCCACTGCAACTGCTTGCTTGGCACTTACCTGCTACCTCGGCCCCGGCACCTGTACCTCTACCTGTCCGTTGCGCCGTTGGATTGCGCCGCTGGAGGGTCTCGTGCTGCTGTACAACCTTGCCCCCACTGCGCCGCGGAGACGAGATACAGGCCCGTCTGTGCTTGGGAGTGATTCTAAGATCCGGTCGCGCACTTGGCGGAACTTTCATTTTCGGCCCCCGGGCCTCACACCCCTACTAGCCGGGGTTCGGGGCCGCAGGCCCCGAGAAAATTTTGGCATCTCAGGCGCTATTTAACACACAATTTTAAAGCCATTGGTGACACAGGGCTCACACATGGCTAGTGAACACATATCAGGCCACATTAGAGTAGTTGTGCCACATCAGAGCCACGTGGGAGGCGTCAGACAAGATGCTCTCACCGTCGCCTCGCCCCTCGTGCGACCACTCCAACTCATGCTCCTGGATGAAGGTGTCGGGAGGCACATGCACAATCTCTGGCAGGAGCTTGTATCGCTTCGACCCCTGGTTGTCTGAGGTTGACAGGTACCACTGCGCCTCAACAAACCACTGATTCTTGGCGATCGTCCTCCCACCTGGCACACGAATCGTCTCGCCCGTCTTTGCCTCCGACTTGGTCTTGAGCAGCCAGTATGGCCGCCCGCCGAGAACCTCGCGGTAGGCGGCGAAGGCGGCGTACAACCTGCCCGGCTGGATCTTTGCGCGAAAGTCCTTGATACTATCAAGCTGGACCTTGCGCTGCGCGGGTACGCTCTTGTCAGGATAGATAGTCTCCTGCCGCCATCTGCCGACCGCGTCCATGCAGGCGCAGCTCGAGTGTTCGACGTTGACACTGCGCGGGTCTCGGCAGCTCGGGCACGCGCAGCTGTTGGTGCGCGTGTACAGCAGCTCTGGCTTGTCGGCGCGCATGCCCGCAAACTCGTACGTGGAGTTGCTGCCGGCGATGGTGTCGGCCTCGACGTCGGCAGCGACATCAAGAATAGCGTGGTACTCTCCTGGAGCGGCAGCGCCATATGGCCCCGAGCCCTGGTTAATCCCAACCTTTCTGGTCACTCGCACCCCCGCCGCGGGGTAGTAGAGCCAAAAGTAGTTGGAGGCGGTGAAGATGCCCGGCCGCCGAGGGGCCTCCTCTTCGACCCGCTCCTCGCCGTCTGCACTCGCCTCTGAGCCTGGCGCCTGCGTCAGTATGCGACGCTTGCGCGCAACGCTGCGCCTCCGCTTCTTTGGGGGCGGCTCCCCAGCCGGCGTCTCCCCGGCCGCCGCCGGCGTCGCCTCCCCCTCCCCCTCCCCCTCCGACTCCGCATCGGCGTGACCCCCGCCCATGCGAGCACCCCTCTCATCAAAGACAAAGTCGCCCTGCTCGATGTCCTCTCCAGCTGCATCCGCCTCCGCAGCTCGCACCGTCCGCCGCCCCTCCTCCTGCGCCTCTGCCTCCACCTCGGCGGCCCCCGCCACCTCCCTCGCCTCCGCCTGTGCCTGCGCCTCCTGCTCGACCAGCGTCGCCGCCGCCGCCGCTGCTCGCACCGTCTCCGTCTCGATGTCCATCGGAGAGGGGAGGATGCCAGCCGCAGCCAGCCGCTTGTGCATCCGGCGCGAGGCCTCAGTCGTTGGAGCTCGAGCGAGTGCGGCCTCCGCCTCCTCTGCCTCCTTGGCCTGCTGCTCCGGCGTGAGAAGTGGCGTCTGCACGGGGGGCAGCGCAGCGACCACGGCGTCGGCGGTGGTGCAGTCTCGCCGCGGGCGAGGCAGCTTCGTGGCGCAGAAGTAGTAGACGTCGTGCGTCGAGGCGAGCCGCGCCTTGCCGTTCCGCTCGGCCGTGCGGCAAAGGAGCTTTGCGTCCTTCCCGTAGGCGTCGTGTGGGCCCTTGAAGTGGTGTGACGCGGCGAAGCGGTGGACGAGCTGCACACCGCCGATGCGTGAGGGGAACTGGGCAATGCGCACAAAGTTCCGGTTGCCCTTGTACTGCGAGCGGCAGCCGTCCGAGAAGACGTACACACGCGTCAGCGGCCCTGCCTTGAGGCGGTCCTTGTAGTACTTGACGATGTCGTCGAGCGCCTGGTTGTGGAAGAGCGACGAGCCCTTGGCCTCGGAAAAGATGCGCCAGACGTCGGTCACGTAGCGGCGCTCGCCATTCTCGAGCCAAGGCGAGTGGGTCACGATGAACACGTCCATGTTCGAGCGTGCCGGATGCTCGCATGCGCACGTCATTGCGTGGTCCTTTTGCAGTGTCTTGAACATATCCTGAGGCGAGCCGATCAGGGGGATCGAGTCGTTGGACTGGCTGTGGGCCACCCACTCAACGCTGCTGAGCAGCACGTGGCCGTACTTGAACTTGGCCGCGGTGCCAACGCGCCCGCGGGCGAAGATCCCGAGCAGCTCCTTCATGTTGCTCTTCTTGAGGTTGCGCGCGTCGCAGTACGCCTCGAAGGCCTCGATGTCAGGCAGGATGTGGAGCACCCGCTCCGGGTCGACCAGGTAGATCGGCAGGGCGCACATCCAGACGGCTTCGAGCGGGGCTCCACTGGCTTCGAGCGGGGCTCCACTGGCTTCGAGCGGGGCTCGGCGGGCCGCTTGCTTTTTTTTGGGAGCTCTACCGTTTCAAATGAAAGTTCCGCCAGCGCCCTTCATGTGCGCGACACGATCTTAGAATCACTCTTGGGCACTTGCGATACGTAGAGTAGTGTCTCGAGTTGTCTTCATGACCGGCCGCGGCGCACCGTAGAGAGAGAATGAAGACGCGAGATCACGACTGGGATCAGAAAAACTGAGAGAGTTTTTTTGTCTATTAGCGCACACTAGACTAGAAGAGGCGTCCACTGATGTGTGTTCTTTTGATTTATTGACTACTACTAGAACCACACCGTCAACTCTTCTCCACGGTCTGCTGACCCGTGTGCACTCTCACATCTCAGTCACATCCCCCGCCCGCCGCCCGGCGCTCCAATGTGCAATGTGCATGAATACATCAGCTCTCCTTCAAAGCCGCCTGCAGCGCCGCGATCCACTCACTGCCCGGCTCGGCGAGGGCCCAGTGCGTCCCAAAGTGGTCACACTCGCTCATCTCGAGAACCTCGACCCGCGGCGCGGAGGTGGCGCTCCGTCCCAGCCGCTCGAGCTCTGCGCGTAGGCGCTTCGCCTGCGGCTTGCAGAAGGGAAAGTCGCGCTTGCCGCCGTAGGTGATGTGGACCAGGCCTGGCAGCTCCGCCGGGTCCTGCTCAGCCAGCCGCGCGAGCGGCGACGCCGCGAGCACGGCGGTCGGTTCGGGAGGCGAGCCCACGACAGCACGCAGGTTTGGAGACACGCCCTTGCGGTACAGCCACCAGATGAGTGGCCGGCCAACCCAGAAGCGCCATAGCCAGTGCGCTGGGGCAAAGTCCTGCGCGCGCAGGCCTACCGGCCCGCTCACCAGGAAGAGCGCCTTGATGGCGGATGGAGACACGCCCGCGGACCGCAGCAGCGGCGGGTCGAGACCGAGGCAGGCTGCAAGGTGTGCACCCGCACTATGGCCGGTGAGGATGATCCTTGCCGGGTCGCCGCCATACTCCTTGGCATGCTCGACCACCCACCGCAGCGCCGCCAATAGATCATCGCGAGACTCTGGCCACGCCTGCCGCTCGCCGAGGCCAAGGGCGTAGGCCGGCGTGATGTAGAGGGCCGGCGTAGCGCAGACGGTGAGTGCGCCAAAGCCAGCCCACTCTGGGTAGCCATTCTCCCAGCCGCCGCCGTGGATGCCAACAACGATTGGCAGGCCCGCCGTTGTCGGAGTGACGGGAGCCCACACGTCGAGCGTCTGGTGAGATGCTGGCCCGTAGGACACGCCGCGCGAAACCGACAGCGAGTCGTGCTCTATCGCCGCGTCAGTGAGCGCGAGCGCTTTTTCGTTGTAGGGCACGAGGAAGGATGGCAGCGACTGCGGTTTGACAGATGTTTTGAGCGAGAGGGAGAGGCAGGTGGCGGAGACGAGCAGCATATACGCACACGGTTGATTGCTCAACTTTGGCGTGGGTTCGGCCTCCTTGGGAGGGACGGCGCCCCGCGATCGCCTCCCCTGGCTTTGAGTTATGTGTACGCCAACTCAGGGTGTGTGGCAGCCAGCTGGCTGTGTGTCTTGTGAGCTTGTTTGTGTCTGTGTGTCGCTCGTGCGTGTCGTCATCATCTGTCCAGCGTCCACCCATACCGCGTTGGTGTCCAGTCCGAGCCTGGCTGTTCTTCACCTTTCTACCTACCTACCTACCTGGCTTAGATCTAGCTAGACTGAGAGATACTGTGCACATGATCAGTCTCTACAGTATAACACTGTCACTTAACAGAGCTCGACCCGGTCCGTCTACACGGCCTGCCTGCGAATCGGGCGATCTGAGGTCCAACTAGGTGTATGGATTGCCCGCCCAGGGCTATCACCTGGACCCATCAACAGAAGATAACCGACAAGCGCCTGCCTGCGTGCGGCGCCGCTGGTTCGTCTAAATATTCGCTATCCCAAATCTCTCTGAGTGTCGAGAAAAGGCGTAAGTTCGGTCGTTCGGGCGCACGGACTTGTGCATAGCAATAAATGCGACGAATGCGTCTGCTCGCTGTCTTGCCAATGTGTTGGGCGCGTTCTGTCCAGCACGTCGACATCGCCATCATTGGCGGCGGTCCATGCGGCCTCGCGACGGCGCTTGCGCTCCGTCGAGTCTCGTGCTTGAAGGACGCCTCCATCGCAGTCTTTGAGAGAGACCACATGGAGCCAAAGGGTGCTGCCATAGCCATCCAGCCGATGGGCATCGATGCACTGAATGACATAGATATCATGCTCGTGCCAGAGATGCGGCGTCGTGCAGTGCGCATGTCTGACTTGGCCCATTTGAGTGTCAACGACCTTTCGTCAGACTCAAACGAGGACGGCTTTCCACGTGGCTTCTGCCAGCCGTATCGTCAGAGACCCATCCGCGAGCGGCTATGGAAATGGCTAGCGCGCGTAGGATGTCGACTGCGAATACGTCCAACACGATCCTCGTTCAACTGGCATGACGTGCGAAGCGTTCTCGCCAAGCAAGTGCATGCCATCTGTGGGCCTGAGACGCTACGGTTTGGCCACACGCTCATGGCGGTGCGTACCCGCACGGCAAGTGAGGGGATAGACCTCACTTTTGGCGTCGAATCTGCAGATGACAGGCATTCGGTGACATACCGCGCCCGCCTCGTTTGCTCAGCCGACGGTGTCCGTTCAATGACGCGTCGATGTTGGCCTGGAGCAGACACCGCAACAGCAAAGCCACAAGGCAAGTCAGTTTGGTATGGGCTCGCACCACGCCTGCGTCTTGGCGACCGCATGATTCGAGTCGTAGCACACAAAAGCTGTCTCTTAAACGTGCAGCCTGCTTTTGGTGGCCGTGGCACGTCATTCTCCTTCATGGCTCCTGCTGTGAGTGGGTACGCAATCGACGATTTTGATGCGGCCAGGCGTCTCCTGTCGGCCGCGCCGCGCAAGCTGCGGTCGACGCTCACCGCCCTCATCAAGGCAACGCCACATGTTACTGAGAATAAGCTGCACAGCCGCGACTTTTCGCGCCCTTGGGCCAGCCCGAGCCACAGGCTGTGCTTCCTGGGTGACGCGGCGCATCCGATGCGCCCAACCTTTGGCTACGGCACGTCGCTTGGCTTCGAGGACGCGGTTGTGCTCGCCCGTATCGCCAAGCGCGAGGGCAGCCTCGACTCGTTCGTAGCGAATGGCGTGCGTGCCTTTGAGCGGGCGAGGCTGAGCCGCGTGCGCGCGGTGGTGGAGATCAGCCATGAAGCGGCTCTGAGCTATTACGGGCATCCAGATGAGGAAGCAGCCGCTCGGGGGAGGCAGCACGAAGAGTACAGGATAAAGCTGCTTGAAGCCCTCGCTGAACACCCCATTCATTGCGAAGAAGTGGGTCTCAGGACGCGCTGCGAACGAGACAGCAAATAACAATCGATGTCATATCCCCGGCGCTAGTCGCCGATCACCCCCACCCTGCACATTGACCGCTCCCTTTCACCCATGCCACCCCAGTGAGGTGTCAGTTTTTTTTATTCGTTTCAGATATATTGAGCGCGAACAGTTATTACAACGGGTGTTCCGATCGTCGTTGTTCCGAGAAAGCCTGATCGCCTCCATCTGGGCGCGCTTTGTAGCTTTTGCGCTGCCAAGCCGGCACTGGCCAGAGCGAGAGAACAGGATGCTCGACTAGCTGGCGCGGAAGCGCGGGCGTGGCGCGTCGTCAGTCGCCCAGGAAGGACGACCAGGGTCCTCTCTATATGCAACACTGGGATAGGGTCGATTCCGTAGGTACACGGGACCCTCGATCGTCTCGCCCTCTCCCTCACTGCCGATGTGTTCATTTCTACCATAGTTAACATATGAGAGAGACATATACTAATTTGAGTAAAGTTTCAAATCTAGGTTTGCGCGGATGTCCTGAGGCCGCGCCAAAAGAACTTGCTCAACCAAATTGCCAACCGGTGCTTCCGTAGAATCTCGTTGTATGCTACTTCCTCGGCCAGTCTCTTGCTGATACCTTTCGCCTGCCAGAGCGCCAATTGCCTTATCGGAAACGGCTGCCGCAACGCATGAGTAATCAGATTGAGTTCGGCAATGGCGTGGCCTTCTTTGACCGAGGCTTCGGAATAAGAGGAGAGCATGGACTCCAAAGATTGGTCGCCGGGAGTGGCCAAAGCTTCTGCGAGCATGTCAGCTTGCAGCAGAGCTGATGCGCAGCCTTGTCCAAACAGCGAGTACATTCCATTGCTGGCATCGCCAACCAACGCAACGTGTCGATGGCTGGCTGCGTCAAGCACGACACCGACGGAGTTCGAGTACGAAAGAAAGGCCACACGGACCACCGCCAATGATAGCGATGTCGACGTGCTGGACGCGATGCTCCTGAAGTGTTAACGAAAATCTTGCCCTAGAAAAGCGCCTTCATACTATCATGTCACACGGCACACATCGATATCGGTTATCGCCGTGTAGCATTCAACGCAGCGCCGCCGCCGAAGAGTCGCGTTTATACTTGGGTAACGCTCAAGGCGAGTTCTACTGCTGATCTCAGACGCCTGCTGGCTGACCAGCCTTGACTGCCGAGCGTGGTAGGTGCGCAACCCGAGCTACGATCGAGCCAATTTTTGCACTCTGATCCTTGTGCTGTTCAAGCAAGGGTGGCAAACCGAGAGCCTTCTGAAACTCGCAGGCGCGGTGGTACGCCTCCTTTGAGACGCAGCCGAAGTGGCCGCAGTCGATGATAGTATCTGCTTCACAAGGCTCGGCGATAGCATCATACGAGCCACGGATGCGCACAACCGAGGTTTCGATGGGCTTACAGCCAAAACAGACACAGGGCAAACGCAGCCGTCTCGCAAACTCTGCGCCGGCGGAGTGAACAAACACGATCACGCGCGTATCCTCCGCATCCGTCAGCTCTTGCAGCCGTGCAGCACACTCTCTCGTCTTTGCGGCCTTCCACGCGTTGGCCTTTGGCGAGTCCCATTGCCCGGCGACGCCGATGTTTGTGCGCTCGGCCTCCTCCACAGTTCGCGGCCAAACGTCGAACGTAACATGGGAGTCGACACCGCTGCTCGCAATGAGGCGCGAATAGTCCTCGTCATGGAGGCCAAAGCCCGGCAGCAAGAAGAGGACAACGCGCATCGGCGGGGGCTTGTGCCAATTGGTGCGGATTCTGCCTTCGCCGTCAACGATTGGGATAGGGGCCCTAACTCGTGTGAGGCTACTAGGAATCCTACTTTCTTGAAGTGATTCGCATTCTAGCTCGTTTACCTTACCTTACCTTATACCTTATAGCTCGCTCTGCGCACACAAGGACAAGCGCTGTCTCGCGCACGTGAGAACGCCCTTTTCTTCTCTTCGAGAGGCTTGTATTTTAAGAATCTTCTCTTCGTCTCTCCCACGCTCTTTGTTTGAGAGCCCACGATGACGCGCCCTATCCACGCGCTCGCTGGCGCGCTCCTCCGCCGCTGTTCTCGTCTTTCTTTCTTTTCTCCACTTCCGATACTTCTCCGACTTCTGCCTTTGATTTTTGTATTTTGAGCTAGCCTTCGATGTTTGGGCTAACCTTCGATGTTATGAAACAAACGCAAGGCGGGCACCCACATGACGCATCGCTCTCGGACCCACTCACTAGCACTACTGACGTACCTTAAAAGGTACGTCAGTACAATTTTTTGCCGGAGAAGGCGGCACACAAACTCAAAAGTCAAAACGGGTCCGCGCGAGAATACGTGAAAACGAAATAAGCCGCTAGGTGCAGGTATGATATCACATTAAAGCTGACGGACGGTCAAAAGTAGACCGCGCGAGCATGCGCCGCCACAGCCTGCGGAGGTCACCGCCACCCGGGCCTGGCGGGAGGCGCGGCCGGCCTGGAAGCTCTGGCGACGGCCATGCTGCGCGCCATGCGGACGATGTACGCGGGCGGCTCGCGCGTGCGCGGCGTGAAGGTGCACTCGCGCATCTGGTTCTCGGCCTCGGCCTCGCGCATGCACGCCGCGACGTGGTCCCGCAGCGCCTGTTCGGAGCAGCGCTCTCGTCACCACCGCCACGGCACTTTGTACGAACAAGCGACGCGGTCTCTCGCGGCGCCATGTGCTGCCGCACGCGCTCGAGGTACGAGTCCGGCTCCGTCGCAACCTTGAGGCGCGACGAGACGCCTTCGACAGCGTTGATCCGCGGCGCAAAGGTGAGCTCTGCGGCGGCCTCCGCCTATCAACCGGCCAGCCTCGGGTCACCTCGGCCGATCTGGCGAGAGAAGGGGAAGGAACGACGGCGGCCTCCGCCTCCGCCTCGCACCGCCGCGCCTCGTGCACCGCCGCCCGCCTCTGCGCATCGCCCGCAGACAGCTCCGCCGCGGAGCGCGGCCGCCGCCGCTGCGCGTCGCTGTTGATGGACGGCGAGAAAGGGCACTCGGCCGAGGGCGGCGCGCGAGAGGGCGGGCGAGGCGAGGCGGCGGCGGCGGCGGCGGCGGCTCCCTCCCCTCCCTCTCCGCCGCCTCCTCCGCCTCCTCCGCCGCCTCGCCTCCCGGGCGAGGCGGGTCGGCTGGAGGGACGGCTGCTTGACCTGGGGCACGAGACTGCACGAGATGAGCCGAGATTGCCTCGAGGGCCGGCCGCTGCCGGCGCTGGAGGCGGCGCAGCTGCCACACACCTCGTCTCGAGACGGCGGAGCAAGCTCGGCGACCCCGCCGCTAGCCGGGCGGAGCGGGGCGAAGGTCGCACCCGCCTCGCCGCTTCGTCCGCCGCGCTGCTCTCCGCCTAGTAGTGGTTTGAGGGGCATCGGTGGCTCCACGCAATCAAAGGGCCGCCTCGTCCGCCGCGCTGCTCTCCGCCTAGTAGTGGTTTGAGGGGCGTCGGTGGCTCCACGCAACCAAAGGGCCGCCTCGTCCGCCGCGCTGCTCTCCGCCTAGTAGTGGTTTGAGGGGCATCGGTGGCTCCACGCAACCACAGGGCCGCCTCGTCCGCCGCGCTGCTCTCCGCCTCGCGCAGCGCGTCTGCGAGGGCCCTTCGCCGCGCGTACTCTGCCTGCCTCTCGAAAAAGGCCTCAAAGGAGACGTCGTCGGGAGGGGCGGGCCGACCCGCAGCTCCGCCTGCCCCTCCGCCCGCCCCCCCCTCCGCCCCTGCACCCGCCGCCGGCGGCCTCTGCAAGCGCGCCTGCAAGCGCGGCGCCGACGCCGAGCGACGTAGCGAGCGGGGCGTGGGGCGCCCCTGCTGGGGGCGTCCCTGCGGCGGGGGCAACACGGGGGGAGGCGCGCGCGACAGCCGCACGTGCGCGGGCTCGTCGAGGTAGCCGGCCGCGGCACTGGACAGACTACGAGGGAGCGCGTTGACGCGAGGAGAGAAGGGCGCCTGCCGGCCGCCTTGCTGCCGGCCGCCACCGACCAGCCCCCCGCTGCTGCTGCTGCGTCGCATCCGCCGCCGCTCGCGCGCCTCCTCGGCCGCCGCCTAGAGCAAGGGTCCGAGAACCTTCGCGGAAGGCTCCCCCCCGCCGCCCGCGTGCCTCCTCGGCCGCCGCCTGCTCGGCGGCGCGGATCCGCTCCCCCTTGCTTGGCGAGCTCCGCCAGCGAGACGTCACCTGTCGACCCGAGATGAGCCGAGATGAGCCGAGACATGAGCCGAGATGAGCCGAGATATGAGCCGAGACATGAGCCGAGATGAGCCGAGATATGAGCCGAGATGAGCCGAGATGACAGCGCGGCGTGCACGCGAGACGCCACCTCCGCCGCCGCAGGGTTGAGCCGCGACGGGCGCAGCACGCGCGGCGCAAAGGAGCAGGACTCGAGCTCGGCCTCCTCCGCCGCTCGCCTGCGCCACCGGCCGAGCTAAGCCGAGATCAGCCGAGCTCAGCCGAGCCCCGCCGAGATCGGCCGAGATCGGCCGAGATCGGCCGAGATCGGCCGAGATCGGCCGAGATCGGCCGAGACCGCGCCGAGACCGCGCCGAGACCGCGCCGCGACCGCGCCGAGACCGCGCCGAGACCGCGCCGCGACCGCGCCGAGACCGCGCCGAGACCGCGCCGAGACCGCGCCGAGACCGCGCCGAGACCGCGCCGAGACCGCGCCGCGACCGCGCCGAGACCGCGCCGAGATGTGCCGAGAGTTGCCGAGGTCCGCAGCCTCGCCTGCGCCGCTCGAGCTCGTCGAGCTTGCGGGCCCGCTCGTCCGGCCGGTGCAGCCGCTCGTGCGCCGGCCTCCCCTGTTCCGCTCGACGGGCGCAAGCTCAGTCACAAGTGCCTCGTGGGGCGGTCCGAGGTGGTGGTGCCGTGCGCGTTGCCGCCGCGCCTGCCTCAGCGCGCTCTCGGACTGCGAGCGACGCAGCGAGTGCGGCGCCGTGCGGGGAGAGGGTGCGGGTCGGAAGGTGCAGGGCGCCAGCTCGGCAGCCTCGGCGGCGCGCCTATGGGTGGCGGCTCCAAGACGGCTCCGCGAGACTTCTCGTCTGACGGCCGGGCTACGGCAGTCTGCGCGCCGCTTCGAGAGGCGGAGAGACTCGCGCGCGGCGTGCCATCGCAAGTTGCGCTCGTAAAACTCGCTGCGGCTGTTGCGCGGGATCGACGACGACCGCTCGCTGCGCACGCGCGAGCCCGCCGACCGCGCCGCCGACGCCGGCGCGGCTGGTGCGGCGTCCAGATCCTGGCAGGACCTCGACTCGCCCGGCGGTTGCTGCTGCTGCTGCGGTGGTGGCGGCGGGGACGACGGGTGGGGTGGCGGCGGCGACGGCTGCGGAGGTAGTGGCGAAGGCTGCGGCGGCGGCGGCGGCGGTGCGGCCGGCTGCGGTGCTAGCGCCTCCTGCGGTGATGACGGCGACTGCTGTGGAGGTGGCGGCGGTGGTAGAGGTGGCGGCGGTGGTAGAGGTGGCGGCGGCGGAAGAGACGGCGGCGGCGGCATCTGCGGTGCCGGCTGCCCTTGCTGTGGCTGCGACGGCGGCGGCGGCGGCGCTGGTGGCTGGTGCTGCGGAGGTGGCGGCGGCGATTGAGGCGGCTGCGGCATGCCCTTTGCTGCTGGCACGCTCGCCAGTATCCGCCGCTTCTCCTCGATGAGCAGCTCGATTAGGCGGCGACTCTCCTCATCCAGGCCAGAGTCCTCCGTCATTCAGTCTGTGCTGCCGAACCGACTAACGGCCAGCCTGTGCGCCACCAACAGACGCCTCTAGCCAGCGCCGGAATGGCCTAGCCTGCCGGAGCCCAACGCCGCGGAAAAAAAGAAAAAAGCCCCAAGTGCGCTTGCTCCGGCCCGCTGCTCCTGGGCTTGAGCACTTGAGCACTTGATAGGGTCGATTCCGCATGGTACGGGACCCCTCGATCGTCTCGCCCTCCCTCACTGGTGTGTTCATTGGGGGGGTCATAACAAACACGGTGCAGGATCGAGGTGCACGCTGCCAGAGCAGTGTCGTCCCCCCTCTCCCCGACGGCGATGCATGGCGGTGTGACCGATCGAGCTACAAGAGGAGCTTGTTCAGCAGGATCGGCAGGTGCCGCTCTACGCGCCGTGAGCACCCTCGCCGCAGCGCCCGCCCCGGCGCCGCCGCCGAGGCTGGCGCCAGCTCTCGGGCCGGCGCCCCCTCCAGCAGTGAGGTACCGTCAGCAAGTCGAGCAGTTGTGTGCCATGGGCTACCTCGATTCGGTGGCGGTGCTGCGGGCGCTGGCGGCCTCTGGCGGAGACATCAATGGGGCCCTCGACCGCCTGATGCGCGGGTAAGGGCCCACACCCCACAGCATTGTGCACGTGGGGCCGCTGGGGCCGGGTGCGGTCTCAGCCTACTGCGGCGCTCCTCTGCGGAGAGAGTCTCGCTCGGTTTACCGTACGTTGAGCGAGTGTGTGTGTGAGTGAGAGAGAGAGAGAGAGAGTCTGATGATCGGTGTGGTGTGAGAAGCTGTGAAGGACCTGTCTGATTTTAACCTTCGGGGTCCTGCGACACTCTCACGGCGTAGCCCTCCACAAACAGTTCCGCGATGGTGTCCGCCGTCATCCAAAACAGCCCATCCGAGGTGTCACGCAACGGCGCCCCGGGTTGGGCGAGCCCCCGCCGTCCCCACGGGTTGCGCAGCTGGAACTCGTGCGGCGGCTTGTCGGCCTCTGCCCGATCCAGATCGCTCGAGGCAGAGCGCTGGCGCGCAGAACGAGGACGGGAGGCGAGGAGGGAGTAGCAGTGGTCCTGCTGCACCCCGTCGCGGGAGACCGTGTCCGATTGCGCGTGCGCATCGAAGATGGCAGACGCCAAGCAGATCGCGTGCTCGCCCGTCTCTAGGAAGGACTGCAGAGTCGCGTCCACAGCGGCGGAACACCGACGGCGCCACGCCGGTGAGCGCCTGCAGCGCCCTGGCAGGATCACCTCCGTTCAGCCCCTCGTACCCTTGCCCACCGGCGGCAAACAGCCCAGACGCCGCGCACGCCTTCTCCACCAGGCAGGGCCAGAGAACGGCGGCAGCCTGCGCGTCGTCGTCCATGGCTGGCTTGGCATAGGCCGCAGCGCAAGCGCCGGCGCCAATGCAGCACGCCGGCAGCGTCTCTTCGACCTCAACCTTCGTCGGCGGCAGTGAAGCGTCGAACGGAGAGTGCAGCGTCACCACGTAGGCTCCGGCGCTGCCGCCTCGCTGCAGCATGCGCCGGATGACCCCTGGGTGAGCGGCGACCGAGGCCATCGCCGCGATGAGCCAGCACGATCCGACGCCCCCCTCGACGCACTCCGACGCGCTCGTTCCGCCTCCCGCCGCGAAGAGCGTGTGCTGAGGAAGGACTCTCTCGAGCCGGGCGAGGCGTATTGGGTTCGTCGCGATGCGAGAGCGGGTGCTTTTGGCGCAGCCTGATTGTCTAGGATGATCGTTTCATTGCTTGAGAGCACGCTCACGGCACAGCCCGGACTCGGTTTGCCGGTTGCGGGGCCGACGATCGCGGCACCGAGCCGTGCGAAGAAAACCAGGCCTGGCTCTGTGCGCAGCGTCATGTAGCCGATGTAGGTGTCCTGCCGAGCCAGAAGAAGCGCGTCGGCGCGCTCACGCGACGCTCGCACACCCTTCTCACAGTGCGCGCCATTGAATGCGGCGGAGCTGATGCGCTCGATTGGAGAGACAGCGCTCGGTCGCTTCAGCTGCGGTGGTGGCGACGACACGATTCTTGCGCTCGGCCGCTTGAGCCCGCTGCGATGCAACAGTGCGGCAGCGATCAGGGCTACCAAAACCACCGCCGCGAAAGCAGCGAGCTGGAATGCCGCGGCATGCCGCTCGGCGAGAGGAGTCGGCATGCTCATGTCTGAGTGTGCTGCGCTTGCATGCCGCCCCGTGCAGCGCTCTGGGTGGTGGTGGCGGCGCTCCAAGAGTGGTGCTCTTGGGAAGAGGTTCCTCCCTTTCGCTCCCCCAAGCGCGAGACCGGGAGGGTGGCCGCGCCGCGAATTTTTCTTCTTTTCCTCGCGCCGGGAAATTCTCCGCCCTCAAGAATTTTCTTTCTTTCATTCAATTCCGCTCGCGATTTCGTTCCTACCGGAAGCGCCGCGCCCGCCGCTTTACGACGTACCCGTTGCATCTCGCCCCCGCTGTTCGCCCTGCGCGCTAGTGATGATGGCCGCGCCGATTCTGGCGACCGTCTTGCTCGCCTTCGCCGCCGAGGTCACCGCAGTCACCGCGGGCGGCGTCGATGTCACCGCCGCAACCCAGTACGGCTCGGTCGTTGGTAAATACTCGCGGTACGATGGCGTCAACCGGTTCTTTGGCATTCCTGTCGCCGCGACCACCGGTGTAGCGAACCGCTTCAAAGAGCCGCAGCCACCGGCTACCTGGGCTCTCCCTATGACGACAATCGAGAGCAAGCAGTGCCTTCACGTCGGCGACTCCGGAGTAGTAGGCAGTGAAGACTGCCTCGCCGTCGACATCATCGCGCCATCAAACCCCCTTGACCTGACCGGGTCGCCCACCGTCGCCGCGCCTGGGTCATACCCGGTCCAAGTCGTGCTCGGAGGATCCTTGGACCCATCTCTCCTCAAGGACGACACGTACGCCGGACCTGGCGAGAAGCCGGTTGTCACCGTCAGGGTCACCCACCGAGTCGGCGTCCTAGGTGGCCTGTCGCATCCCGCGCTCCGCAATGGGATTGACGGAAACTCGTACAGTGGGAACTGGATGCTACACGACGTCCTCAATGCCCTGCGCTGGGTCCAGGCCAACATTGCAAATTTTGGAGGCGACCCCAATAAGGTTGCGGTCCACGGGCAGGGCACGGGCGCCACGCTCGCGGGCCTGTTGTTGGCGTCACCTCTGTCCTACAGCGGCACCTACGCCGTGAGCGGACCCCTCTTCTCCTCCATTATTATGCAATCCCCGGATAGTTTGGGCGGTCCAAGTGCCTTCTTCTCGCAGGCGGTCCGCGACGCCGCTGGCGCAGAGACGGTTCGGATCGCAGGCTGCGCCGAAGATTACGGATCGCTAGAAGCGTCTACGGGGACGCTCACGTCCATCGCCGAATGCCTGCGCCTTTCCACCACTGCGGCACTCCTCCAGACGTCCCCATATCTGGTGGATGTGGTTACATTCGACAGCAATTTTGGAGACGGCACTGCATTTCTGCTATACAGCCATGACTTGGCAGTCAACCCTGTGGTCGATGGCTACGCTCTCCCCTTGCCACCGCTCGATCTCATCGAGGCGGGGAATGGTGCTAACGTCAACGTCATCATTGGGCAGACTATCGACGACTACGCACCCTTTTTGGACGATGAGCCGCCAGACCTGGCTGGCGCAGCGGGTGTGGCAGCGTATCGCATCTTGTACGGTCCCCTTGCCGCATATGAGTTGAACCACACTGCAACCATCGGTGATCTGCAGGCGGCCAGCCTTGCGCTCCCGATCGGAACCATCGAGAGCTACTACAGCTCCATCGCAGATCCATACCAGCAGATGGTCGCGGCGAGCACTGATGGCTACTATTCGGTCAATCAGAATAATGTCATTGACAAGCTGGTGGACCAGGATGCCCGCACGGCAGGCACCGTCTTCCGCTACTTGTTCGCGGACCCCATACAGGATGAGGCCTGGCCGGCGCCACTTGAGCCGTCGCCCTCTCCTGCCGATCCTCTCCCCTCGCCCGAACCTTCTCCGTCACCGTCTGCGCAACCCTCAATCGCACGCTGGGGAGTCCCAAACATGGCCGATCTCACGTTCACTTGGTCCTTGTACTCGGCGGGCAAGAATGTGATGACGGACATCATTCCAATGACGGCCGGCAGCGTCACCTACACTACCGAGCAAAATGAGATGGGCGCCAGCATGAAGACATACTGGACCAACTTTTTCTATGACGGAGTGCCGGGCACGAATGGGATCACTGCGTGGGCACCTAGCACGCGCACCGAAAGGCACACCATCGTCTTCCAATCGACCGTCCTAGGCGGTGCTGCCCTCGACCCCTGCGCCATGTTCACGTCTTGCATGGCCGAGCCCACTGCCGACTTCCGCCGGTCGCAGCATTCGTTTTGGACGTCGGGGCTTGTCAGCCAGCCCGCCCTCCCAACCTGCTCGCCGGTGATAGTCGGCCTCAGCCACATCAGTCCATGGCAGTTTACCTCGAATTGTGGCGTCGATCTTCCCTCTAACCCGCCCCGGCCCAGTCGAACCCCAACTCTGGAGTCGGGCCTCGAGGCCGGTGCGGTCGTCGGCATCGCCATCGGGTCTCTCGTCGTCGGCGTCGTCGTCGGCATCGGCGGCGCACTCGCCCTGACGAAGGCCAATCCGAGCGGCACCAAGAGCGGGCCAGTGCGTGTCAGCTCGGCCCAAGGAAGTGCGCCCTTGGACCCCCCCCCCCCCCCACCACCACCACCCAATCGACGAGCCGCTTTTTCTCGCCAGGCATCGCGCCCCGGGCTCGCGGGCATGGCTAATTGTTCTCTTCGAAAATTTCTTTTTTGAGCTAGCCTTCGATGTTAAAAGGAAACAAGACATATGACGCCGCACAAAAACACACCGCACCGCACCCCGCACGAAAGAGTTGGTGTACCTGTGTTAGTGCCAGTGCGCGCCAGTCCCGTGCCCAGTGTGTTGTGCGCGGGGCACAGAGTGGTAAAATTCTTTTTCCGACCTGGGCAGCGCGCCTTCCTGCTGTCTCTCATCGCGCCCCGGGCTCGCTCTCATGCCGTCCTCCTTCACACAGAGCCGCCACCCGTCCGCGGCCGGCCCCCTGCCCATGGCGCGTTCCACGCGCGTCAGCTTCGGCCCGAACGGCGTCTGCGCCTTCGCGACGGGCAAGAGGTGCTGCATCGAGCGGCTCGCCGCTCTCGACGCTGCTGCCTCGGCGGGCGGCGGCGTCGCGCGGGCGGTCGAGCTGGCCGAGCCGCTGCTGGAGGTGCGTCTCCACGGCGGCGCGCGCTGCGAGCGCGAGGAGGGGAACCTCGTCCTCCCCACTCCGGCTGCGCTCGAGGGTGCGGTGCGCGAGTTCAAGGACGCCGAGGGCGCTGCGAGCGCGATCCAAGAGGCGGAGCGGGCGCGGCAGCGCGAGCGGCAGCACCTGTGGAAGCTCGTCCAGGCGCTGCTGGCCGCCACCCTCCGCCCGGCCGCCGGCGGCGAGCTCGGCCTCGGCGAGGAGCAGGCGGCGCTGATGGCGAAGAAGCAGGTCGTCGCCGCATGGCGGGGCAGCACCCGCCGCCGCCTGCGCCTCCGCCCCCGCTGCAGCCTCCGCCCTCGCCGCCTGCTCTGCTGCGCGCGCCTGCCGCCTCGCCGCCCTCTGCTCGCTCGCGGAAGGCGGCGGGTCGGAGAGCAGCGAGTTAGCCACCGCGTCGGCAGTGTCCGCCGGGTCGAAGCCGTCCTCCTCCTCCTCGTAGCTGCTGGCCTCGGACGGCCCTGCTGCGCCTTGCGGCGGTGCTCGCTGCGACTGTGGCCCGAGCAGGCGGACGGTCGTGTCCCACAGGTGCCGCGCGCGCGCTAGCGCCGCCTCCTCGGCGGTGGCGAAGAGGCCCAGGTAGAGCTTCTTGCCGCCAACCCGCATGTGCAGCATGTACTTTTTGCTGCCTTGCCGCCTTGGGCTGTAGACGACGCCCCTGTAGCAGCTGCTGCTGCTGCTGTTGGTGGCCAGCGTAAGGCCCTCCCTCACTGCCTGCCGGACTGCCTCGGCGCCAGCAGCAGAGGAAGGCGCGGGCGGCGGCGGCAGTGGCGGCGGCGCAGTGAGATCGCTGGTGTCCCTGCCCGCCTCCCTGCGGGCGTAGAAGAGCGCAGCCTCCTCGGCGGTGGCGAAGTAGCCGAGGGTGACACTCTTGCCGCCAACCGTCACCTGCAGCGTGTACTTCTTGCTGCCGTTCTGCTTCGGCTTGAAGGTCACACCCCTTGTAGCCGGTGTTGTTGCTGCCGCTGGTGACCAGAGTGAGGCCCTCCCTCTCCGTCTGCCGTATCGCCTCAGCGCCAGCGGCAGTGGGAGTAGTGCGAGGCTGCAGCAGCTTGGCGGCGTCGGCGCGGCCGTACTCTGAGCGAGCGTAGGCGACGGCCGCCTCTTCGGCGGTGTCGAGGCACGAAGGAGCCGAGGTGGACACGCTTGCCGCCAGCATCAGCTCCACTTTGAACTCCTTTCTGCGGCGGTCGATGGTCGCGTTCTTGTAGCCAGTCGTGCTGGTGTTGCGGTCAGCTGGTATCTTTGTTTGTTTCTTTTGTTGCATGCGTTCTTTCTTCTTCTTTACTAGGCACGGGACTGGGGCGCGCGCACTGGCAGTGGCACTCCAGCACCGTCCATGAATAATTTTACGTTGAAACTCCCTCGCACAAATCTCAAAATAATTCTCGACCTAAAAAGAATATAAGAACACCTCGCTCTCACAGCACATTTACGGGCATTTAGAAAAAGGAACCCATCAAAACACGTCGAAACGAGCAGCACCCCCACGATCGGTCCTGTCACGGGCCCGCCGTCACTCTGCCGGCCCTGCCAGCGACGGACTTTGGCCAGCCCCCGCCGGCGTGCACCCCGCCATACTTGGTACGATGCTGCTGGAACATGCCCTGCCCAAATGTGCCAGATCGCGTCCTCTCGTAGTGAACGCGGCAGCGCAGCTTCTTCTGGTTGCACAGGAGCGCTGGAAACCAGTCGATGGGAATTTTCCACGTGCACGCGCTCAAAACCTCAGCAAGGTACCCTGCCACCTTTGGGTGGACGATGAACGCTGTGAGGCACAGCGGGTGCGCGAGATTGATGACAGACGCCTTCCGTCCATAGCGGCAAAACCCGACAGAGACCAAGTCATAGGGGCCATCAGCGTGGACGCTCTGCACAATCTCGTCGAGTTGTGCGGCGCGGCTGGCAAAGCTCGAATTCGCCTGCTCGGCCTCATCTTCTGAGATGGACCAGTCGCTCTCCATGATCATCGATGGGCCGGCAGACCTCGAAGCGACGCGCAGAGCCTGGACATGGGCGGCGAAGATGCCGGTGACTTGAGGGCTCTCGCCCATAGGGATGGATAGCAGCCTGAAGTAAGCCCCCGTCGGAGAGAGGAAAGCGGCGCCTTCAATCAGGCGGACACGATGCTGGACGCAATTCCTGTCGGTATAGACTGGCGGAATGCGCAGAACATTGAAGCCAAGCCGCTCAAGGAGCGACTTGCGCTCGGCCGTCAACGTTGCTGAGGTGATGGTGATCGCGTTTGGCTTCGCCCGATTCGTAGTTAGGCCCTCGTGGAAGAGCGAGGCTAAAGAGGGATATTTAGCGAAGAGGGCCTCGACTGCTTCTGTGTTGGCCGCAAAATCGCGTATGTTGCCCTGGCGAACCCGTCGCACGCGCGCAGTACGCTTCTCGTGCGGCTCGCATGGGTCGGCATTGACTTTTTCGAGTATCGCAGCAGACCACGCGTCGGGGCTGGTGGCGAGGAAGTCCTCGTAGAGCAGCACCTCCGGACTGAGGCCGTGCTGCCGCAAGTACCTCACGACGCTCACACGCTCCTTCCAGCTCTGGATGCCTTTCTCTGCTATCCTGGCCAGGAGCTCGAGGTCGTACGTTCTCCGCTCCACGGGCAAGCTCATGCGGCTAGATTGACTCACGCCAGCGCCTTCCGGGGCCTTGGTACTGCTCCATTTGCTGTCGTACCGCGAGAGGCTCCAGCGTAGCAGGTCTGAGCGTACCAGGAAGAGCGGCTTCAAGCCTGGCTTGCCCGCGGCCTGAAGCTCCTTGTGCAACTGAACGAGAAGCACCCCTTTGGTGCGATCCCTTAGAAGCACCCCCTTCGACACGCCTTCCCTATTGAGATCTTTAAACTCGGCGATGCACTCGGCCGTGCGGCACCGCCCCATCCGCTGAAGCGTCTGTGCCACCGCGTCAGCGCCGCCACTGAAAATGGCCTGAAGCGCCTCGAGCAAGGTGCTGTTGACACCGCCTTCGGAATGGTCTGCGGGTTGGCGGTGCGGGTCGAGCTGTTCCTGGGTGAGAACCGCGGTACAGTTGAAGCGGTTGACCTGCTCCGCCATCGCGTGCGAACCCTCATGCTCTGTGTGCAGCATGACAAAGGCAAACGGCTGCGCCGGGGGTGAGGTCGAGCGAAGCCAGGTGTCAAGGGCTTGGTCTGAAGGTGGAGAAAAGACGGGTGTGGACCCGAGCATGCGGAACAAGGCATCGGCGGCCTGATAGCCAGTCGTGCTGTTCTTGGTACCGGCTGGGGTCAACATGACGCGCTCGGATAGCCACACCTTGTAGGCCCCGCAGCGAGTTCGCCCGGGTTACCTTTTCTTGCATGCAAACATATGGTTGTGAAGGTAGCTGAGACAAAAAGAAGTCCCGGAAAAGAAACCGCGCGAAATAGGAAGGTGTGGCCAGCTCGTGGGAAGGCAGCCCCCGTGGGAACGCCCGCCCGCCTCCCGTGCACCGCCCCCTCCCGACGCCGGAGCGGTGCTCCGGGGGCACGCTTGGGCTCAACCCGGTTTGCCTCTCGCACCCCGTCTGTCTGTTTTCCTTTCCTTTTTTCTCTACAAAACCCTCTCTTTTCCTCTCTATTTTCCCGGGAAAACTGCGTGGAAATCGTCAATTTTTGGGCTCTGAGCCGAGTCTGAGGCAGGCTGGTTTGGGCCCAAAATCAGCCAAATTTTAGGCCAAATCGGCAAAATGCCGGGAATTTCGCGGAGAACCCGTGTATACCTGGAATTTACCCTGCGACCGCCTGGGTATTTTGTCGATTTCCTCAATTTTGCCTCAGATTTTGCCCCAGACCCCAGACCAGCTCTCAGACTCAGGGAAACTCGCGAGTTTCCAGAATGGAGCACCAAACACCCTATGTTTTCCCTGGAAATTTCCGGAAACGCAAAGTGCTGGGGACCCTCTGTTTTCCTTTTTGTTTTCCGGAAAACTGGGTTGAGCCCAAGGGCACGCCCCCGTGCACGCCTCCTCATATGACAGCGCACGGGAGCGGTGCTCCGGGGGCACGCCCCCGTGCACGCCTCCTCATATGACAGCGCACGGGAGCGCATGGCAAAGGCGGGCTGCTCGGGGTCCGACTGCGGTCCTTTGCCAAGATTGCCGTGACCTGGGTCGCCACGATCCCGATCGCCGCCGCCATTTCCGCTGGGTGTATGGCCGCCCTGAGTGCCATGATCAAAAACTAGGAGCGGAGCTGCCGAGCTGCGACAGTTTTGTGTGTCCAGAGACCAGCGCAGCGCGTGTTCACGGCACGCGGCGTGTCGCACCGGGGCCGCATCGTGCGCGGTACGCCGGTACCCGGGTAGGTCGGTGTACTAGTAGTGTAATAGGATGAGAAATATGAAAAACGCCGTCATTCGGGCGAGACGCGAGTACTCTCGCCTCGACAAATTTGATAAGTGTATGGTATGTTGTTGCAAAACAAATTTGATAAGTGGGACAAGGCTTTAAACATGAATTGAAGGCCTGCAAAAAATAATTGCAACACAACTCCCTCGCACGACACTAGGCACGATACTGGCGCGCGGTTACTGGACCGTCACGTGTTCAACGACGTTGAACAGTGTTCAACCACGGCGCTGTTCACAGCGCGCGCGGACGGCCGTTCTGCGAGTCCAGCTCCGCTGGACTTTTGTAAAGCATGCTTGTGGCAAGTTATAGACGCTAGTATCGACCTCAGAGACCCAAACTCGAATCAATAATTAAGGCTCAAAGTATGGTTGAACAACCGTTGAACAAACAGGTTGAACAACGATATCCGACTAGTGCGACCGCTAGACGGCGGTCTCCGCCGGCCCCAAGGCTGCCCAGCCCCAGTACCACACCGGCCACGTAGACCGTAGCGCTGGAGTTGTCAGTGAGGCACTAGACGGGCTACGGAACCATGCGCGCGCCGGCCGGATAGGCTGCGCGCAGGGGCCGCGCCGCCTCGATTTCGCATCTCCGCTCCGCGGCCGACTGAGGGGCCAGCTCGCCCGGCGACAAGCCCAGCCATCGCCCAGCGCCCCGTATCGACGGAGGGCACGCAAAAAACCCGCACCTACGACTAGGGTGAGCCCGTGAGGGCGTCGGTGTCGGCCGCGGGCGGGCTGCGAGGAGGGCGCGGGTGGGAGCATGGGAGATGCACCACCGCTCGACGAAGACGCGCCCGACGAAGCCCTGCTTGCGGAGGATGGTCGATCCTCACCTACTAGCGTCGGGCGTGTGCGAAAAAGAGCGCAAATCGGAGCTCAACTCGCGCGCGGCTGGGAAAGGGGTGTGGCACCCCTCCGAAGGCGCCTCGCGAGGAGCTGCTGCTGCCTCCAAACGCGCTCGGGCAGCACGTCGGCGCGCCTGCGGGGTTGGGGAGGTGAAACTATGCTTGCTGGCACGCGCATCCCGCACCACCCCCACGTCCGCGCGCACCATGCCGCCATCCCACCTCACAGCCAAGCGCCATCGCCGTCGGACGCGGCGACGCCGAGCGGTGGCCTCGCAGACGACGAGCGCGATGAGGCCGCCGCGCCGCCGGGGTGGCCGGCGCGTGCCAGCCGCTGGCCCGTCCAGCGTGGCGGGACCGGCTCGCCCATCCTGGCCCGCGCGCTTGCCGACGCGAGAAGATCGCGCGGGAGGGCAAATCTTGGGCAAATCCCACGGCGACTTCACGTCGGAACGAGTCGGATCGACGACTCCCCGCCTGCACCAGCGTGTGCGCCTTGCAATTCTATACAGAATCGACACGTGGTACGTCTTCTCAATCGCTCGTGGAGAGGAGCTACGGCCATTCCTAAGTAGTGTTCAACGACGTTGAACAATGTTCAACGTCGTTGAACACGGTCCAGTAAGGAGCCGCGCGCACTGACTGGCACTAACACAGGTACGAAGGTAGGTAGGTAGGTAGAAAGGTGAAGAACAGCCAGGCTCGGACTGGACACCAACGCGGTATGGGTTCAATGGGTGGACGCGGGACAGATGATGACGACACGCACGAGCGACACACGAAGGTGGTACCAAAAAAGAAATTCACGGACCCGCCGCTCGCTTAGGTACACAGCCGAAACCTGCTCGCGCTTGTGGTACCGCACCCACGCTGCTCGCGCTCGAAGCTGCTCGCGCACTCCTCTTGAGCGCTGATGGCAGAACGCAGCGTGCCGAAGCTGCGATTTGCGGTGCACGACCGCGTGGAGGTGTGGTATGATCGCCGCTGGCGTCCTGGCATCGTCATCACGCTCTCACCGGACGGGGAAATCTACACCGAAAAGGGGAAGCCGCCAAATCCTGAACGGTGGGCGTACTCCGTCGAGTTGGACGAAGATTCCTCCGCCACGTCCGTCGGCGTGCCCTACGACAAGGCGAACAGGATCATCGCCGAGCGCAGCGCGTCAGAGCGTCTCGCACAGGAGATCTACGAGGCTGCCGACTCCGGCCAGAGCTCGACGCTCAAAAAGCTCCTGAGGCGCTCGACGGAGGAGGACTACCGCAGCGCTGCCCTCGAGTGGGCTCACCCGCACCACAAGCAGACGGCGCTGTTCGCTGCCATTCAGTGCGAGCATCTCGTCGTCGTGCGAATGCTCATCGAAGCCAACGCGGCAGTGGACACCGTCCGTCCGTCCGACGGCAGCACTGCGCTGCTCCTCGCTTGCAAGCAAGCCGACGCCCCGAAACCTACTCGGAATGCGCTAAACGTCGTCAAGATGCTGCTCAGCAGCAAAGCGGACCCAGCGCAGAGCCCGGCTGGGGGCGGGTTGAGTGCTCTGATTTCGCCATGGCGCCATCAGGACATCGCCGACCTGCTGTCGCAGCGCGCCGGGCAGGCGGCTGGCGCGGCGGCCGCGGGCGCCGTGGCGCGGTCCGATCAGGAGACCCTGACCATGGTTGCAGGGCGCGGCTTCGATCTGGACGGAAGCCGCTTCCGAGACCGCGACAAGCGGAGCGGCCCGGAGGCCCGCTCCGCAGCCTTCGCGGAGCTCAGCAAGAGCTGGAGCCTGCCCTCCTCTCTCTCCGAGCAGCAGAGGGCCGCGTCAGTCTCAACCCACATGGTGCTCGTCATCGACAACTCCAGGTCGATGGCGATGAGTGACGGCGCGCGCCGCCGCCTCTTGCCCCGATCCTGCCCCCATGTCTCTCGCCGGCTCGACCCTGCCCCCATGTCTCTCGCCGGCTCGACCCTGCCCCCATGTCTCTCGCCGGCTCGACCCTGCCCCCATGTCTCTCGCCGGCTCGACCCTGCCCCATGTCTCTCGCCGGCTCATCCTCCCGGCTCCCTCGCAGTCACTGGCGCAAGCGGGCGGCCCCTGAGCCGGCGCGACGCGGTGCTGCGCGCGGTCAACGACGGCTTCATCAAGCACCGGCTCAAGCTCGGGCAGGTCGGCTCGACGCGGTGCAGCCTGATCAAGTTCGAGCGCAAGGGCGCGCATTGCTGCTTTGCGCTGCATCCCGTGGAGGAGGCGCTCAAGGAGAAGATGGACCGCGCCATCGGCGAGCCCAAGGGGCACGGCCACTACATGCCTGCGCTCGACAAGCTGTTGCAGCTAGTCGCCGCCTTCGATGTGCTCCTTAACCCCGTCATCTCGCAGACTTGCGTGTACTGGCTCTCGGACGGCAGGCCGAGCGACCCGACGGTGCGCGGCGTGGGTGACACCGCCGCGCTCGCGCCGCTGGTGGCGTCGCGAATGGCCGAGCTGATTGACGCGTCGCGCAGCCCTGTGAGCATGAGCTGCATCGGCCTCGGCAGCGACGAGGACTTTGCGGTGCTGCACGAGATGGCGGACTGCGTCCCCGGCGGTCGGGGCAGCTTCCACGCCCTGAGCCAGCTCAACGAGGCGGCAATTACTGCGACGCTCACAACCTTCTCCTCCTCTCTCCTCACGTCGCGCCTCGCCTCCATCCGTGTCGACGACCACATCAAGCGGCGTGAGCGGCCCGTGACTGTCCGGATCGGCCTCGCCGTCGAGAACGCCACCTTTCAGCTCTTTCCCGCGGCAAAGGCAATCGGGCCCGCCGCCTCGCCCCAGCGCTGTACGCACCCCCCCTACCATCACTGCTGCCGCCGCAGGTCTTCTTTCCACCCGATGCGGGCGACTTCGATAGCCCCATGACCGAGCTCGGCAGCTACGCCATCGAGGTATCCACCGACGCGCTGGCCAAGGGAGGCGAGCGCAATGTCTTCCACATGCGATTCTGCGAGCCGGCGCCCGACTTCTCTCACGCCAAGGACCGGTGGGTCGTCAAGGAGAACCGGCGCGTCGAGGAGTCGACGCAGCGAGAGCTCGAGTTCCACCGCACATCGCTGGTGACGCAAAAGACTGCCGAGGCCCTCGCCGAGCGCTTCAACGAACGCGCCGTCGAGCTGGGCCTCGAGGGGCTGCCTCGTATCGCGTTCATGACGTGCTGCTTCGTAACGGTGCAGCGAGAGACGGGGACGTCGCAGTACTTTGCCGAGCGTTTCCTCTCAGGCCGTGCTGTGTGACTGAATCGACGCGAGCGTCGCGCCGAGATGTCACAACGGGGTCTACCGAGTTAGGCGTCCAGCGGAAGTGGAATACCAATAGCGGGAAGGTGGTCATCGCACGCAAGGCGGAGCCCGAGGTGTCCGGCATGGGTGCGATCCGGGAGGAGGACGAGGAGGACGAGGAGGGCGGCGGTGGTGGAGACGGCGGCAGCGGCGACCCGCCTATCACCGACGAGGACGTCGCGCAAGCCTTCTCGCATTGGACATACGCGCACGAGGGCAACGAGATCAACTACGACGGAGTGGTCGGGCCGGTGCTCCTCTGCGACGTGCAGGGCCACTTCAAGCAGCGCGAGAATCTGTTTGAGGTGTGCGGCCCGCCTCTGCCGAGCTCGCCGTCACCCTCGCCTCACTGCCCTCGCCTCACTGCCCTCGCCACCTCCGCCCTCCCCACCTCCGCCCTCCCAACCTCCCCAACCTCCGCCCTCCCCAACCTCCGCCCTCCCAACCTCCGCCCCCACCCAGCTCAACGACCCCGTCATCCACTCCTCGGTCGGGCGCAAGACGCTCTTTGGCGCTACAGACCGCGGCGACAAGGGCATCGCCGATTTTCTCCGGAGCCACAAGGTGTGTTGACCTCCACCCGCCGCTGCCGCCCAGCCAGCCACTTCCCCTGCCTCCGCCGTCGCCGCCCCCGCCTGCGCAATCACCGCCGCCCTCGCCGCTTCCTTAGTGCAACAAGGTGTGCGGCATGCTCGGCCTGCCGGCCAACGATGCTTTCGTGTGCGAAAACATCTCGTTCGAGGAGACGACGTCCTGCCGCACCTCGTCGATAAATGTCAAAAAGACACACCACTTCCGGGAACGCCAAGGAGAGCGGGGGTTCGACACGAAGCTGGCCAAGAGCGCAAAGAAGCACGGGAGCAAGTACGTGCAGCCCGACGGCAAGGTCAGGCACGTTCACAACGGTTTTCGCCTCGTCACTTCGCCGGACGGGGAGGTGGCCGTCACCGGCATGTTCGAGTCGGACGCCGCCAAGGAGCAGTACGGGCAGCAGCGGGAGAAGGAGCAGCAGCAGGAGCAGCAAAAGCAGCAGCGGCGGCAGCAGCGGCGGCAGGAGAAGCAGTCCGCTTCGCTTGCAGCCATGTTCGAGCCTGACGCTGCCCCATCGACTCCGCCGCTACCCACCGCCACCGAGTCCGCCGCCACCGACGCTCCTGTCGCCGCCTCTCCTGCGGCTGCCGCCGCCGCCTCTGACGCCTTTGCCGCCTCTTTGACGTTGCCGTCTCCGCCGTCGCCTCCCGATGCCTCTCGCGCCGCTGACTCGTCCAAAGGCGGCTTTTCGGAGCTCTTGCAGGCGTACGAGGCTGAAGAGGTCGCGCGCGTTTTGCGAGTGACGAGCGCGCGCGACGCGGCGGACACCTTGCGTCGGCGTCTTCGCAACGCGAAGAAGAAGCTTCGGCAGAACAGCTCCATCATCGTCGGCGCCGTTGGTTTGAGCGCAGAGCAGGAGGAGAAGATAGCCAGAATTCCTGCGTTGGAGGCGGAGATCACAGTGCTGGAGGCGGAGGCGGAGGAGGCGGAGACGGAGGCGGCGGCGGTGGCGGCGGCGGCTGAGGCTGCGCGGCTGGCCCAGGAGGCTGAGGTGGAGGAGGCGCGGCGGCGGGAGGCGGAGACAGCCGAGGCGTGGAGGCGCGAGGAGGAGGAGGCGATGCGCGTGGAGCGCCTCGGCCACAGACTCGACGAGCTGCGTAGGGCGCGTATCGAGCGCGACAAGTTGAAGGGGCTGCCCATGGTGTTTGGGCTGCAGGAGGGGCTGCGGGCGCAGTTCCAGGTTCTTGTCAATGAGCTCGAGCGCGTCATGGATTTCGACGGCCGCAACGTGCTCATCGTTGCCGGCGAGTACGAGGGCAAGAAGGGTGTCGCTGGCGAGTATGTGCCCAACTCAGACAAGTCGGTTTTTGTGGAGCTCGAGATGGGCGTGGACGGCCGCAGACAAGAGGTCAAGGTTCATTGCAGCCATCTCATCATCGACTATGACGTGCGCAAGGAGCAGGGTCAGTCTGAGAAGTTCAAGTGTTGGATGCCGGGCGGCTTGTCCGCATCGCAGCGCGCGGACATCCAGAAGGAGTTCATGCTGGCGAAGGCGGACGCACAGACTAACGTCGCCGAGTGGCAGTCGCGCTACCAGTTTTGCCGTTCCACACCCAGCGCGAAGAGGGGGTCGAAGGAGTGGCAGAAAAAGGAGGACATGACGGCCGAGGCAACTGCATCACTGCACGCTGCTCAGAATTATCTCAAGGGGATGCTGGAGCTGGCTGTGGAGGCTGACGCGCCGTCGGCAGGGAAGGCGGGCGAGTCGGCCAGCAGCGCACGCAGCGGATTCGTGGTGATCAAGAAGGGGCGCAAGGGCGGCGCGCACGGTAGGGACGCGGCGGCGGGCGGCGAGGAGGCGGCGGGCGGCGAGGAGGCGGCGGCCACGCAGGCGGAGATGCAGCGGAAGATGGAGGCGCTGTCGGCGGTTCACTCGTTGTCGACGTTCGCGGCGCTGCAGCCGCAAGAGGACGAGGCTGACGGCGCCACGACGGAGACTGGGCCCAAGACGGAGACTAAGCAGGCCACACCACCATTGTCGGTGCCATTGGGCGCCAAGCCCCGAGGCGAGCCGGGAACGCGCGGCGGGCGCGGCGGGCGCGAGGTGCCGATCAAGGCAAAGCAGAAAGCTGTCATCATTGGCCGAGGCGGCGCCACTATCCGCCAGCTGCAAGCGGACTCCGGCGCTAGCATCTCCGTCGAAAGCGACGTCGTCCACTTGCGAGGCTCGAAGCAGGCTATCGACAAGGCGAACATGCTCCTGCAAGAACTCCTCGCCAGCGGCGGGCGCCGCACGAAGCTGGCAGTGAGCAAGGAGGAGGAGGAAGCCGAGCTGAAGAGGCTCGGCTACAGATCCTGGGCCGAGGCAAGCGCCGCTTTTGACGGCGCGAATGGATCGGGATGGCATACCATCCCGAATCGGCGTGGCCGCATTAATTTATCGACCGCCCCGACCGCATCCGCACAGCTGGCAGCGCTGTTGTCTGCTCGAGTGCCGACTTCGCGGGAGCTCGGAGCGGATCGCGCCCGCCACCTGGCAATGCAAGCGCTCGGCCCCCGTGACGCATGAAGCTTTTTTCTGAGAAGAAGCCTACGTACACGTACACATCACACAAAAACCAAAATAGTTGACAACATATCACGAAAGCTCAAAGCCCGAGGCGGACCGGATGGCGTAGAGGAGCCGCTCGCGCAGCACCTCCGCCCTCGACTTGAAGTTTTTGGCAGCTTGAGCAGGTTGATCGTTGAAGCAGAGGTACGACGCGATCTTTGTCAAGCGCAACAACTTCCTCAACCGACTATGGAGGACCCGTCGCCAGACGACGCAGGGCAGACGACGGGGAGGCGGAGCAGGCGCGCAGGGCGAGACGAGGGAGGGAGCGAGGGAGCAGGTGGACTTTTTGCGGAGATCAGCAGGAGGATGTACGAAGAGATTAGGAGCAGCAGGGACCTGAGGGACCATGTGGAAGACGGCTAGTGCTAGTCCCCCATCGGGAGGACGACCCCGGGCTAGTCGCCGACCACCCACATCAAAGAACCCTGCACAAAGAGATCGCACGGGCGCGGGGACCTGCACACTGTTCCTTTTTACCCATCTCCTATATAGAGTAGAGGTGTCCGTTTTCATATTTTATATTCGTTTGAGACGAGAGATGGGATTGTTTTAGGGACCGAAGTCAAGGAAGAGAAGAAATCCCTGGGCGTCTGATGATAAATACTACCACACACTCCACACATCCACTGCACTCTACGCGACCGGCACCACCACGGTCGTGGGGATGACGCTGCCGATGGCGCGCGACTTGGCGCCGCTCGGCATCCGCGTATGCACCGTTGCGCCGGGCATTTTTGACACCCCGATGATGGCCGCGGCCCCCGACGCCGTGCGCGAAGGCCTCGCCGCCAGCATCCCGTTCCCCTCGCGCTTTGGCCAGCCAGACGAGTTTGCGGCGCTGGTCGAGTCGCTGCTGCTCAACTCGTACCTCAACGGCGAGGTGGTCCGCCTCGACGGAGCGGTGCGCATGGCGTCGTCGTGAGAGAGAGAGCGCGCGCGACCCACCGGGAGTAGCCACTCGAGTGTATCGTTTTGGTTGATCTACGAGCATTTTGTGGGGAGGGATTCTGGGATTGGCTCACCCCTCTGCCAGCTCCCACGAGATTTAAACTCCTCACACCGCGTCATCCACCAGACACTGTCCCTCATCAGAGCGACGGAGCGCAGCGCAAAGGCCTGCGGCTCGTCGTCGTCGGTGCCAACCCAGCATCCACACCCTTTAGCCCCCCGGCCCTCTGGTGTCTGGATCGTGGATGTCGCGTGCGGGGTGCGGAGTTAATGACTGCACTCCAAGTGCTCCAAGTATTCTTATTCGAAGGCGCGCGCTCAAAATAAAAAAGGGCATCACCCGACGCCCAACGCCTCGGGCGTCACAAACGACCGCACGAGCCGTCCCCTCAGCGCCGGCGGGAGCCAAGCGCGCAGCGCAGCCGCACGCGCGACGGGCGGCGGCAGCTCCGAGCACCGCACGACAGCCTTGCCCGTGTTGCCGCCGCCCATCATGTCGATGAAGGCGGCCGGCGCCGCGTCGAGCCCGTCGTACACCGTCTCCTCGGCGCGCAGCTCCTGAAGGCGGATGGCGACGGGCGTGAGGGCGGCGGCCGCCGACCGGTGCGGCGTCGCGGCGGCCGCGGCGTCTCGCCTCGGCGGCGACGAGAGCGCACAACTCGGCGAGAGCGGGCGCGAAGCGGTGCTTGTATTTGACGACGGTGTATCGCTCCCTGCGGATGCGGCGCCGCTCCACCACCGCCGCGCTCTCCGCGGGCAGCGGGGGCGGGTAGTCGCCCTCCGCGTCGTAGGTCGAGATTTGGCCGCAGAGGAGCAGCTCCGACCTCGGCGCCATGCACTGGATCACGAGGTCGCTCACGGCGCCCCCGACGTTGTCCCAGTATAGCGTGATGTCCACCGGCTGCGGTGAGCGGGACGTGCCGAGGGCGCGGTCCGCCTGCGGCACGGAGAGCAGCGCGGCCCGCAGATCCGCCCGCAGGTCGGCCGAGTGCCGGTTGAGCGCGCGGTCAAAGCCGAGCTCCTGCAAGAAGTCCACCTTGGCCTCGGAGCCGCACACGCCGACCACCGCCGCGCCGCGCCGCTTGCAGAGCTGGCCGACGAGCGAGCCGACAGCGCCGGCCGCGCCACTCACGGCGACCACGTCCGACCCGTTCGGCCGCCCGCCGCCGACCGTCTCAAGCCCGCACCAAGCCGTCAGACCGGTCTGGCCGCATGCGCCCAGCAGCGCACTCGGCGGGAGCAGCAGCGCGAGGAGCGGCGGCACGCGCTGCACCTTGGCAGCCTCCAGTACGGCGACGCTCTGCCACGGGAACGAGTCGAACGGCTCGACGACGAGGTCGCCGGGCGCCGGGCCTCTCACGGCGTCGCCGACTTGAAGGACCTCGCCGATGCCGGCGGACGCGATGGGCTCGCCGAGCGCATACGGCTGCGTATAGTCCACTCCCGTGCTGGCGTTGAAGCGGCAACGCAGGAATGGGTCGACGCTGAGGTAGACTGTGCGACAGAGGACCTCGTGCGGCGCAGGCGTGCGGGGCGGCAGCGGCTGAGGCCTCGGTTCAAAGCAAGAGAGGCAGACCGGCTGGTTGGCGGCAGGCCGGCGACGCAACACGACCTCGGAGTGGAGAGCGCGTGTGTGTTCGAGTGCGTGTGTAGTGCGACTTTAGCGCAAATTTAGCGCAAATTCAGTACATATTTAGCACATATTTAGCACATATTTAGCACATATTTAGCACATATTTAGCACATATTTAGTGTGTTTTATCTCCAATTTAGCGCCACATTTAGTTCACTTTAGGTGCGGGCAGCTGCAGTACATTTAGTGTGGGTCCCGCATCTTTAGTGCGGGCACGCAACTTTAGCACGGCTTCCCAGCCACACCACAGCTGGCTGGCCAGGGCCGCGTGCTTTGCTCCTTGGCTGCCAAGAATGCACCACAGGAGATGCCTGGCCCCTGCCCTCATGACCAAAGACAGGCTCCCAGTGAGGCTAGATATGCAGCCCTCCAGAGCAAGATCTCCCGACTCCATCCAAAAACACAACGGGCCCAAGACGAACAAGCACCGCCTCTCGAGGTTCTCGAGGTGGATATCCATTGGCCGCGTTGGGTAGCGAGGATTGGTGTAACCCGAGCCACGGAGGCGTGTTTTCTGACGGCCGACCGTCAGTGCGCGGAGTTGCCCCTTCTCCGACTGCCCCGGCTAGTTCCCGAGGTCGCGCGGGGCTGACCCCTGCGCCCCCCGAGACCTAGCACGGTACAATTAAGCGTGGAATAGGACCGCCGCAAGCGGCGTGGCGTGGGGCGGTTGACGTTCCTCCGGGGGGCCCTCTGCGCCGGGGAGGCGTTGTTGGAGGCTAGTGCTCAAGTGCTCAAGAGAACCCAAGGGAGGGATGGGAGGACGGGAGGCCGATTCTCACCGGTGAAAATTTCTTTTGAGAGCGCCTTCCGTCAAAATATCTGAAGATCCTACTCTAGGATTCTCCCCAAACCTTGCTCAGCTGATCCAGCATGGGTCGTAGGCCACGCCTGGGCAAAGAAACCAGTACCTCATCAGGCTTGCTTCCCTGAGCGTCACAGCTCGGTGATCGCGCCGGCCGGACACCACTGTAACGTCCGTTCCGCGTTCCGGGCATTTGAACGCGACCTTCGGGGGCAAAGACATGGGCTCTTTGGCTCAGACTGGACTTCGATTTTTGAATTCTTTTTTCGCCGCAACATCGGCTTCGCACCTTGGCCCTCATGCTCACCTCGATCCGGCGGTCGGTCGAGGCACGGCCCACAACGAAGCCAGTCATTCGGCGGCAGGCCACTCACATCTACACCTCTCGAGCCGACGCCCGCGCCAGGATCGCCAAGGAGTCGCCGACGCTGCAGCACACCGAGACGTGGTTCGAGACGCTGGTCTCCGGCCGCGAGTATCTTCCGACTCGGATGTGGTGGGTGGTCCAGCTAGTCACGACCTCCGTCACGCTCGCCGACATCTACTTCTCCAACAGCCCTCCGTCGCTCTTTGGAGGCGCGGCGGCGGCGGCGGCGGACGGCAAAAATCAAACCTCCTGGTGGCGCATTCCTGCCCACGCGCACGACACGCTGCTCGGCCTGCTGTCGCTGCTGCTCGCCTTCCGTACGTCGCAGGCGTACGACCGTTGGTGGGAGGCGCGCAAGCTCTGGGGACAGATCGTCAACTCGACGCGCAACGTCGCCTCGAATGCCGCCGTCTTCATGACCGATCTCGAGCGGAAGCGGCGCGTCATCAAGGCGACGATCTGCTTTGCGTGGTGCACAAAGGCGTCGCTGCGTGGCGTGCGGCCAACCTCGGACGAGATCGCCGAGCTCGCCTCGGAAGAGATGCTCACGGCGATGGTGACTCCGTACGTGGTGCCGCTCGGGAGGAGGCCGACGTTGCACCTCGAGCCGAGCGAGTACGAGAAGGCGCTCCTCGAGCAGGGCGAGCCGTACGACCACCTCCCGATGATGATGGTCGACGAGATGAAGGCGCGCGCGGAATAGCGCGGCGGCGCGGGGCGGCGCGCGGGTTGCCGCCCGGCGACAGAGCGCTGTGGTTTCGCGAGCAGGCGGGCGTGCGGGACGAGCTAGACGAGACGGTGGGTGCAAAGGGCTCCGCCGCCGAGGTGCACGAGGGGTGGAAGATTGTGATTGGCAACGACATCAAGTCGCTCGTCGACGCGCTCGGCGGTTGCGAGCGCATCCAGAAGACGCCGATGCCGTTTGGCTACCTGGCGCAGCAGCGCATCTTTATGCTCATCTGGCTTGTCACCTACCCGCTCGCCATCGCCGACGAGTACCGGCGCGATGCGGCCGAGATGCGGCCGAGATGCGGCCGAGATGCGGCCGAGAGATAGCGGCGAGCTACACCCGCTACATATCGCCGACGAGCACCGGCGAGATGTAGCCGAGATGCGGGCGAGCGAGCTACAGCGGCGAGATACTACACCCGCTCCCTACCGCCGACGAGCGCATCAGTGGGTGGGCGCCGCCGCTTCCGCTCCGGCCGTGAGCAACGCGTTTCGACGCACCCGGGGCTTGCGAGTGCAGGTGGGCGAGCATCGCCGTCTGCGCCGTCGTCTCCTTCATCATGCTCAAGGTGGACAACATCGGAATCGAGATCGAGCACCCCTTTGGCACCGGCAGGCGCGCGCTTCTCTCCCGCCGCCGCGCGCTCCTCTCCCAGCGCTTCTCTCCCGCCGCCGGGCGCTTCGCGGCGCTGCGCCCCTTGCCCACACACCCGCTAGAGGCGCGCGGCGCAGAGTTCCATATGCCGCTGTGCCCGTCTCCACTCGCCGCCCGCCAGGATCCCACATCCCGCGACCCGTGGCGCGGCTGCCCCCCAGGCACGACCTGCCGCTCGAGGCCATCTGCATCACCATCGAGAAGAACCTGCTCGAGATCCTCCGCCGCGCGGAGTCGCGAGAGCTGCGGCCGGTGCCTCTCTCCGGGCTGCCCCCTTCGGAGAGACATCACCGCGACCGGGCAGATGGGCGCAGCTCCACCCTCTCGGCCAGCCTCTCCGAGGAGGTGGAGAGATAGAGCGGGGCGCAGGAAACCTCGGATCCAAAGCTAGAAAGGAAGGTCGATAGATCGGTTCATTCTTTTAGCCGAAAGCACCAGAGCTCGAGGGGGGTCGGCCGTGAAGGCCCCCCAGCACCAGAGCTCGAGGGGGGTCGGCCGTGAGTTTAGAAGTGCAGGGGGGTACCTCGAGCAATGTGCACGGCCGCTCTTTTTGGGGCGCGCGGTTTTGCTGTCTGGGTCTCTCGAGGTTCTCGAGGTGGATATCCTTTGGCCGCGCGTTGGGTAGCGAGGATTGGTGTGACGCGATCCATGCCCAGGCGTGTTTTCTGACGGCCGACCCCCGACCGTCAGTGCAAAGAGTTGTCCCTTCTCCGACTGCGCCCCCGGCTAGTTCCCGAGGTCGCGCGGGAGTGTCTGACCCCTGCGTCCCCCGAGACCTAGCGCGGGTGGGTTGGAGGGGGGCTCGCTGCAGGGAAGGGCTGTGAAAGAAGCCGATCCCCGTAGTCCGCCCCGTTCCTCCCCATCGGGCCGCATAAGCGGCCGCGCCTCGCAGATTCGTTTCTCGCGCCGGGTCAGGCGTGCGGGGCATCCCCCGGGTCGCTCGACCAGCGATCCGAAGAGTGGCCGCTATGCGAAGGAAAGAGCGGGGCCCTCGACGCCTCAGTCCGGCCCTCCGAGGGGGGGAAGGGAATTGCGGGGTCCCCACGGCCACGGGCGCCTCTCTTCGGCCCTCCCAAGGGGGGGAGGGGAGCGGCGGGGGGGGGGGGGGGGGATCCTGGTGGTGCGCGGAGGGGTCTCGGTTTCCTGCGGTGAGGCGGTGAGGCTACCACACTTGCCTTTGGGGGGGCGGGGTGGGGGGGGGGGGGGGCTCACGGCGAGGCGCGCGCAAGCACGCCCGCTCTCCCCCCCCCCCCTCTCCCTCGAGGCAGCGAGTAGGCAGCGAGGGGAGGTCTCGAGCGCCTATATGTCGGTTTTGCTCTTGCCCATGCTGGTGTTAGTGTGACCGTGGTGTGTGCTTGAGAGAGTGTGAGATCGCGTGTTGAGAGGAAACGTTTACGACAAAACAAAATCTCAAACCACGTCTCTAAGGCTCTCAAGTTGGGGCAACTGGCCATTGCCGAAGCAAGGTGGCCCCCGAAAGCCACGGTAGTATCGCTTGGCCTGCTCGGCGGTGATGCACTCGAGGCCCGGCTGGATGTACCTCGTCTGGTACTCCGTGGCGCCCAGCGCGAGCAACCGCGCGTGCAGCTGCGCATATAGCGCTGGCATTGCCCGCTGCAGGTTCTTGTGCTCACTTGGATCAGCCTGGATGTCGTAAAGGCAGCCGTCGCAGCACGAGAAGGTGCCGCACGCCGTCAGGTTGCGCTTCGGATCCGCCGGTCCAGAGGTATTCGGGTGGATGGGCCCCGTCCAGAACCCTGAGCCGCCTTGGTGACCAGTGACCACCTTGTACCGGCCTTGGATCAGTGCTGCGTTGCAGCCCGAGGGCGCAGAGGTGGTGCACGAGTCGGTGTACGCCAAGACCATCTCCTGCCGTATGCCGTCCTGCCATGTCGCGTTGGGAATGAGAAGCGTTGGCCACTGATCAATCGCGTCGATTGGAGGGAGGCCTTCGTGCGGGTCGTCAGCGACGACCCCCGCCAGTCCACACAGCGTTGCGTACCAATCCACCGCATGGATATACGCGTGGTTCACGGTGCCTCTGAGGGCTGCCGGGACGAAACCGCCGCTGATGAAAGCGGCGACGCGCACGCCGCCTTCAAAGTCGTCCGTCTTGCCACCCTTGAGGGGATAGTTGTTACCAGAGAATCCACTGGTGACGATTGGCCCGCCATTGTCGGCGAAAAAGACGATAAGAGTCGTCTCGAGCATGCCCACCTCGTGCAGCGCACGAGAGACATTCCCTACCCCTTCGTCGAGTGCAGTAACCATCCCGTGATAGAGCTGCCGCTTCTTGTCCGCGCAGAGAGGGTCGAAGTACAGTGGCGGCACCTGCAACGGCGAGTGAACGAGATGCCACGCAAGATACATAAATAGTGGCGCTCTCACCTTCCCCTTCTTGTGCGCATGGATGACGCGCTCCGCCTCGCCCGCGTACAGGAAGCCACTGAACGTGCCATTTTCACCGAAGGCTGGCTTGTCATCACGCCAGAGATCCACCAGCTCGCCGACTGGATCCTCGCCCGAGATCTGAGTGAAATGGTCTTCGCCGCCACCCAAAAATCCAAAGTGCATGTCGAAACCGCGACGGATGGGGAGGTGCGCGACGCTGCGAGTACCCAGGTGGCTCTTCCCAATCATCGACGTGGTATATCCTGCCGCCTTGAGCTTGGCGGGAAGCAGCGTCATGCGCAGGTCAACGCCAGCGCTGCTGTTCAGATCGTTTGGATTCCGTTGGTTCACGTGGTACGGAAGTCGGCCGCTCAATGTTGACGCTCGAGTTGGCGCGCACAAGTGATAGACGTAGTGGCGCTCTAAGATGACGCCGGTGGCGGCGAGGCTGTCAATGTTAAGGGCGGCTCCTGGCCGCATACTCGTACCTCCTTGAAACGAGGCCCGTTCCGTGCACTCCTACCCTGCGCGCACATTCACCGCACACAACGCTACCCGCGTTCGTGATCGCCAGCGCCTCCCCAGCCCGATTTAAAACCACGCCTGTCATTGCGACTGTCGTGGTGCCGGCCGCCGCCACGCTTTCGCCTTGCGCCTCGAGCATTGCCATATCTCTGCGTTCACCAACTCGGCTTCGCTCTGCCAGACTGCGCCACATCTCTCTCAGCCACGTCTCCCCAACTCTAAGCCACACCACGCCTTCCCCGCAGGACATCGACGCATCGCGATGCTCAGGCCAACCGTCTCGCGCTTGAGCTCTGTGGGCTCCTCTGATGGGTTGATCAAGAACGACGGCGCGGCGAAACGGCCTCTCTGGCTTCTGATCTCACTCGTTATCAACGCGTTTTTGGCTCTTACGGTGGTCGCGATGGGCCTTGGCAAGGCTCACGTCCTGCCTCTGCCGCTCACAAGACTCCGTGCAAACGCCAACCCGCATTCGACGTCACCGCCACCGCCACCACCACCGTCGCCACCACCGCCGCCGCCGCCAATTCCGCCGCCGCTACCGCCGCCGCCGCCGCCGTTGGGCAAGCTTGCGACTTTGTGGCTCAATTACAACGAGTCACACTTGGCCGACAGGTGGCTCGAGTATGCGGACCACTATGAACGTCACCTCCCGCCCCCGAGAAGTGATGGCGAGCCCTTGCGCATGCTCGAGATGGGCGTGCAGAGTGGCGGCTCGGCGCGGCTTTGGAAGCAGTGGTACGGCTCACAGCTGACTTACGTGGGTGTGGATATCGACGCTCGGTGCAAGCGCTCGGAGGTGCCAGCCGAGCGCATTTTCATCGAGATTGGTTCGCAGCTCGACCCAGCCTTCCTGCGCTCGGTTTGCGCCAAGCACGGCCCCTTTGATGTCGTCATCGACGACGGTGGCCACACCGCCGACATGATGCGAGTCTCGCTGAGCACGATTCTCCCGGATCGCACGTGCGTCAAGGACGGGGCGACGTATGTGGTCGAGGATCTCGATGTCATGGCCAGGTGCGACCGCGGCTACTGCGAGAAGCCAAGGGACGTGTACGACCTCGTCGGTCGCTCCTTCTACGGGATGCACCGTGAACACCACGCGCCGCGTCACGACCACGCCCACCACGCCCGCCACCCCGCCAAGCTGCAAGACCCGACCGTTGAGGAGCCGCCTCCATGGGCAAAGCACATCCGCGCGATGACCCTGTACCAATCAATGGCGTTCTTCGAGCGTGGCAGGACACCTGGCCTCACGCGCGTCACGCGAGGCAGCGATCGCTTCCCGAATATCGAGCGAGAGCTCAACAAGCAGGGAACGTATCGTAACGATTTCAGCGCGGGCGTATCGTAACGATCAGCGCGGAGCTTGGGCGTGGGCAGCGTGAGTTTTTCTCTCGTGTGTGTGAAATTTATGTGTGAAATTTAATAAAAGTGCGTGTCGTGTTCATGTCTGGTGTTCATTATAGCTCCGAGTAGAGGGGGCGGTCTGCTGCTGCTAGGGGAAACCCGGAGCGCGGAGCCAACCCTCGGAGACCCGGTGTTTACTTTACGCGGCCCTTTCCCTGCGAACGCGCACCCCCGGGGCTAGGGCTCTCTAGCCCGTAACCCGATACCGATCATCCGGCCCGCTGGGTGCGCTTCTGAGCTCCCCGGCCCTGGATGTGAGGTTACCGACTGCACTCCAAGTGCTCCAAGGGAAAGTAATGGCGAACTGGGCACGCACGCGAGCTTTGCTTCTCACCGTCGAGAGGGCCGCACATCTTCGGCGGAGGTGGCGGCGGAGGCTGGGGGGCTGGGCTGATGGCGCCGCTCTCCCTCTCTCTCTCATGCACTTGAGCACTTGAGCACTGGATAGGGTCGATTCCGCATGGTACGGGACCCCTCGATCGTCTCGCCCTCCCTCACTGGTGTGTTCATTGGGGGGGGCATAACAAACACGGTACAGGATCGAGGTGCACGCTGCCAGCTCTCATGCCGCCACAAGCAAAAAGCGCTGGTATCCGCCTCCCATCCCATCCTTCGGTTCGTTGTCGGTGGTTCTCTCCTGTCTTCTATCGCAGCGCACTCGCCATCTATGAGCCTAGCGCAGCGCGAACTCGCCGTCTGAGCCTAGCGCAGCGCCTCGGTCGGACATCACCAATTTGGCTCGCCAACAAACCCTCCGCGCCCTCACATTAATCTACGCCTGCGTGGATCGCGTCACACCAATCCTCGCTACCCAACACGGCCAAAGGATATCCACCTCGTGAATCACTTGGAGCACTTGGAGCACTCGTAGGTAGGTAGGTAGAAAGGTGAAGAACAGCCAGGCTCGGACTGGACACCAACGCGGTATGGGTGGACGCTGGACAGATGATGACGGCACGCACGAGCGACACACAGACACAAACACCTCGTGGAGTCATCAACCTCACATCCGATCGGGCCAATCATTTTTCTTCTCGGAATGGCGGCGCTGTGCCTGCCGCTCCTCGCGCCGCTCACATCCTCATGCCTACCCCAGACGGCACGTCTTCTGACAACACGCCACTCTCCACCGCCCACACCTCGCATGCGCGCACATGATTTTGCCTCCGGCCTGCCCATTGCATCACTGTTGCCTGACGTGGTCACGTCTCTGCGCTCGGAGCCCAACCTGGTGCTCGAGGCGCCGCCGGGCGCCGGAAAGTCCACCGCCGTGCCGCTGGCTCTCCTCCGTGACGGTGACTTTGCAGACGGCATCATCATGGTGCTCGAGCCGCGGCGCGTCGCCGCTCGGGCAGCCGCAGCGCGGATGGCATCGCTGCTCGGCCAGCCGCTCGGCGGCGAGGTGGGGTACCGGGTGCGGCATGAATCAAAGACGAGCCGCGAGACGCGGGTGCTCGTGGTGACCGAGGGCGTCCTCGTCAACAAGCTGCAGGCCGACCCGACTCTCGAAGGTGTCGCTTGCGTCATCTTTGATGAGTTCCACGAGCGGTCCGTCGACGCGGACCTCGCTCTGGCCCTCTGCCGCGAGGCGCAGGCGGAGCTGCGGCCAGAGCTGCGGCTGGTCGTCATGTCGGCGACGCTGGGTGAGGCCCTCGGCCCGGCCGTCGCTGCCACACTCGGCGGCTGCCCGACCCTGACTTCGGACGGCCGCTGCTTCCCGGTCGAGCGGCGCCACCTCAGCGGATCCCGGCCGCTCGCGCTCGCGGCGGCGGGGCACCCTCGAGAGGTGGAGGAGGCGGTGGCGGAGGCGGTGCTGAGCGCTCTCGCCGAGTCCGCGCAAGGCGACCTGCTCGTCTTTTTGCCGGGAGAGCGGGAGATCCGAGGCGTCGAGTCGAGGCTGGCTGACGCGCTGCCCGCCGCGCGCCGCGCCGCCCTCCGCGTTTGCCCGCTGTTCGGCGCGATGCCGCTCGAGGAGCAGCGGGCGGCGGTGGCGCCCGACCCGGAGGGGCGGCGGCGAGTTGTCCTCTCCACCAACCTCGCCGAATCCTCCCTCACCATCGAGGGCGTTCGGCTCGTCATTGACTCGGGCTTGCGACGCGCCGCCGCCTACGACGCTGCCGTCGGCATGTCGGCGCTAGTCACGCGTCCCATCTCTGCTGCTGCGGCGGAGCAGCGCGCTGGTCGCGCGGGTCGAGTTGCGCCCGGCACCGCCTATCGTTTGTGGAGCGAGCAGGAGCATCTCCGCCTCGCGCCGCAGACGGAGCCCGAGATTGCCCAGGCGGACCTTGCTCCGCTCCTGCTGCAGCTGGGTGCGTGGGGTGCCGGTGTGTCGGATGAGGCGGCGGCAGCGCTGCCGTGGGTGACGCCGCCGCCCGCAGCGTCGCTGGAGCGCGCACGCACGCTGCTCTCTGGGTTGGGGGCGCTTGGAGGCGGTGCTGCCGCCCTCACGCCGCACGGCACCGCCTTGGCGCGGCTGCCTGCCCACCCGCGTCTTGCGCATGTGCTGCTGCGCGCCGCGGCCGCGGCTTCGGGCGATGCGGGCGGCGCGGCGTTGGAAGTTGCGAGTGCGGCGGTGGCGGTGGTGGAGGAGCGAGACGTGCTCGCGGGCGGCGCGCGGGCGCACGGGGCGGATTTGCGCTCGCGCGTCGCTTGCTTGCTCGAGGCGGAGCCGGGACCGCAGGCGGCAACCGGGGCGTGGCGGCGCGCAAAGCGGAACGCCCTCGATTTGGCGGCGCAGGCGGGTCGCGTTGGCCGCACGGTTGGTGTCGGGGGCGGCGGGGAGCAAGGCGGCAGCAGCGGATTGGCCGTGGCATTCGCGGCAGAGGCAGCACGGCGATCGACACCGACGCTGGAGGCACAGGTGGAGACCGTTGGCGCGCTCCTCTCCGGCGGCTACTTTGACCGCATCGCGCAGCGGCAGCCGGGCAAGGAGAACACCTTCTCGCTCAGCAACGGCCGTGGAGCTTCCTTTGCCGCCGCTGCCGAGCCGCTTGCTTCAGCAGAGTATCTCGTGTGCGTCTCGCTCGATGGCGGCGACAAGCGGTCTGCGCGAATACACTTGGCGGCGCCGCTCTCCCTCTCCGAACTGCGGGCGGCGCTAGGCGGCAGCGCCATCCGATGGAGCGACGACATTTTTGTCGCGCCTTCCGACGGCTCTGTGCGGGCGCGGCGGGTCGAGCGATTGGGAGCGCTCATTCTCTCGCAGGAGCCGCTGCCCACGCCGCCGCCCGAGCTGGCGCGGCCGCTGCTGCTGAGCTTGCTACGGGAGCGTGGGCTGCGGCGCGCTCTCTTTGGCGGCGAGGGTGGCGTGACGCACCCGGCGCTCGAGCTTATTGCGCGCGTGCGGCTGCTACGAGCCCTAGACCCAGAGGGCGGGTGGCCAGTGTGGGACGAGGCGGGGCTGATGGCTGGCGCCGAGGACCATGCCGGCTGGCTAGTCCCCGCTCTCGCCACCGCCACAAGCCTCAAGCAGTTGGCCGCCGCCGATCTGCCGGTTTTGCTCGAGCAGTCTCTGCCGCATGCACTGCAGACGAGGTTGAGAATGGAGGCGCCAGCACGGCTCGAGGTGCCGTCTGGGGCTTTGGTGCAGCTAAACTATGTGCGCGACGGCGAGGACCCGCTCGCGCCGCGGGGTGAGGGTGGAGAGGGCAGCGGTCGTGGGGGCAGCGGTGGTGCGGCGACGCCGCCGGTGCTGGCGGCGAAGCTTCAGGAATTCTTTGGCGCTGTCGACACGCCAACCGTGGGGCCGCGGGGCGCGGCGCTGCCAGTGCTACTCCACTTGCTGACGCCAGCTGGCCGCGCCGCCGCCATCACGGCGGATCTGCCCTCGTTTTGGGCGGGGCCGTATGCGCAGGTGCGCGCAGAGCTGCGAGATAAGTACAAGCGCCATCCGTGGCCCGACGACCCAGCGAACGCTGAGCCGACGCGGCTGAGTAATCGCGCGCTAGCCAAGCAGGCGGCGTCCGGCGGCGGCCGGGCATCGACGGGGGAGAGCGGCGCGGGCAGCGGCGAAGGCGGTGCGAAGAGGAGGAAGCAGGGCGGTGGGAAAGCGAAAACTGCCCCGAAGCCAAAGAAGGCGGGCAAGCTGCCGGGTGGGAAGCGTGGGCCCTTCAAGAGGCGTTGATATATCGTACGTAGACAGGTAGACTACCCTCTGCCTCTGCTCTCGGCGCCCTCTATCTGTGTATGTAGAAAGGAGAGCGCAAAGGTCTAAAGCCGTATGGAGTCACACTCTACACTCTACACAATAGTCAAAACCTCTAGACTGAAGACTCTAGTCATCGCGGCCGCGCACGGCTTTACATCGTAAACACAGAATCACGGTACACGTTCCAAAAGAACTGCTTCATCTTTGCGGCTTGCTCATCAGATGGCAGGGCCCTGAATCTACTCCCAAAGCGTCGAGTGGACGCACGCAACCGCCGATACTCCGCGTCTGGAACGGTCTCGATGTACCTAACGATGTCATCGACATTGTCTAGGACGACACCTGAAACGTTGTGCTCGATCAGGCCGTCAAACATCCCGATCTCGTTGGTCTGCCGGTCGACAACGACTGGAACGCCGGCCGCGATGGACTCACTCACGGCTTGGCAGTAGTACGTGCCGCCATGAACCTTGATGTGCAAGGTGAATTTACTCCTTGCGAAATGAGCAAATTTCTCTTGACCACCGTGGAATCATCAAGGACAAGGTTTTTTGGGCTCTGGCGAGCCGTCGAGTCTGAGGCTGGTTTACAACTCTAACACTCACACGTCATTTGTTTGCCTGGTTTTGCGGCCAAATTCAGCAAAATTGGCAAAATACCCGGTACATCTATTTTGCGCGGGTACGCCTTGGGAAACCCTACCTGGGGAAATACCCGGTATTTTGCCGATTTCTCCGATTTTTGTCAGATTTTGCCTCAGAAGTCGACAACAAAAACAGCTCAGAAGTCGTGGTAAATCTTACCTCCGTTTGATTGTTTTGGCCGTAGAGTGTTTGGTTGTTTTGGTGGGCTATACCAGTAAATAAATAAATGGCGCACTGGAACATCTTAGCTTGTGAAACCTAACAGGTCGGTTTGCCGCCCGGCAAGTTGTGACATAGTCAGATAATGCATTTTGTTTTTCTGTGTGCACACACACACGCGCACACCACAATCTTGAGTTGGCAGTCCCCGGGACGAATTCTTCAATTCGTGCGTTGTTGGCAGTCGTTAGCATGCTCCATTGGTTGTCTCCACTTCTCACGACGATCCCCGTCCGCGCGGAGCAAACGGGCCCCAAGCACGTCATCATGACGGTGATCGACGATCTTGGTTACGACGACCTCGGCTTTCGCAACGAGGGCCAGATTCTCACGCCTCATTTCAACCGGCTCCACTCGCAGGGCATCGATCTCTCCTCGTACTACGTCCAGCCCTCCTGCAGCCCGACGCGGGCTGCCATACTGACGGGGCGCAAGCCGCTGCACACGGGCATCAACTTTTGGCTGCCAAACATCGCCGCCGGTCTGTCGCTGAACGAGGTGACGCTGGCGCAGGTGCTCAACCGACGCAACTTCACCTCGCACGCCGTGGGGAAGTGGCATCTTGGGTTCCATAAGACACCGTACACACCAACCTTCCGCGGATTCAGCAGCTTCTATGGGTACTATGAGGGCTCCGAGGACTACTACACGCACGTGACCAACGGCGGATTCGACTTTCACGACGAGCGGGCTCCTTTCTGCGGTCCTGGCTGCACGCAGCGGCCGTGGCACCTGCAGGGACAGTATTCCACCAACCTGTTCACCGCGCGCGCAGTAGAGATCATCTCGCAGCACAACCTGAGCAGCAGGCTCTTCCTTTACCTCGCCTACCAAGGAGTCCACGCGCCGCGGCAGGCGCCCGCAGCGTACGTCGAGCCATACAAGAAGGGCATCGCCGACCCCGTCCGCCGGACGTTTGCGGGGATGATCTCGGCTCTGGATGAGGGAATTGGCAACGTCACCGCGGCGCTGGCTGCGCGAGGTATGTTCGCCGACACGCTCATCGTCGTGACGACAGACAACGGCGGCCCCACCACCGAGTGCTCGACCACGGGACAATCCAACTGGCCGTTCCGCGGCTCCAAGTGCTCCATTTATGAGGGCGGCACCCGGGGCACTGCCTTCCTCCACTGGCAGGGTCTGCCGCGGCGGGGCGTGACATTCACTGGCCTCGCGCACGCTGCCGATTGGCTGCCCACAATCGTGAGCGCCGTTGGGTCGCGACTCTGGCCCAACGAGACGCTCTCGCTCGACGGCCTCGACTTGTGGGACGCTCTTCTGTCCAACGGCGCCCTCGAACCTCAACCCCACGTTCAGCTCCCTCGCCCTCTATCTTACCTTCCCACACCTCCACCCACCTTTCGCCCCACCTTTCGCCCCGCCTTTCGCCCAACCCACTCTGCGCGCCCACTCTGCACGATATGAGTAACCTAGCGAGAGCGCCACGCCGCCGCCGCGGCGCAGGTACGTCGCCCCGCAAGTCGGTCTACTACGGGATCTCCCAGAAGCACGACGGGCCGGCAGTGCGCGACGTGCAAGGCTACAAGCTGATACTGAGCTCGTCGGGCGGTGGGCAGGGCCAGTGGTCGCCGCAGCAGCTGCCCCACGTCGCGTCGTCGTGTCGGATCAACGCGACTTACGACAAGCTGTCCTTGCTCGAGGGTCTGTCACCCCTGTTCAGACGTAAAGCTGCATGTGACGTCCTGCTGTACCACCTCCCGACTGACGATGGAGAGCGGCATGCGCTTGACGTGGGGAAGCACGAGGCAATCGTGGCGCGGCTGCGGGCGCTCGCCGTTCAGTATGAGGCGACCAAGGTGCCGCAGCTTACCGGCGACCCTGCGTGCCCCGCGTTCGCGCCCCTAGCCTCAACGGAAGGCAGGTGGATCGGGCCATGGTGCGATGGAGTGTGATGTGTGGCTGGGGTAAACAGCGGCTGGAGTCTTGACTCCTGTCCTCCTTTCGAAAAAAGACCCTCTTGTTGGCTCTGGGGGAGAGGGGAGTGCGGGGGGGGGCCGGAGGCACCGCGCGCCGCGCGGGCCCCGGCTCTACTAGTCTCTACTAGCACCAACTTACCGATTAAGCTAGGTTAATCAGAGGGCAGATTTAGAGAGATCTCGAGAGGAGTACATACAGATAGACCCTCCAATCATCAGAAAACTCCACCCTGATCGGTCGTACTTACCGCCGACAGATCACTTTGGGGCCCTTCATACTTTATGAGAAATCGTTGGGTCGCTTCACAGCTCACGAAACGTCTCTGCACCGGTCTCTGGAGGCTAGTCTGGAGGACTCCTGCCCGTCGGGACACCCGACTATTTCTCGCGTCGGTCACCCGGGGGGCGCGTACCCGTCACGAAAAAGTTCAGCGAAAAGGAAGAGAAAAAGAAGCGAGCAGAGCTAGACTCGGAGGGACACGCACCAGGTTGCTGGATTTGGCTGCGCTCCCGGCATTGCTTTTCGTATACCATTAACGGCAACCTGGAGAGAGAGTATATGGTTGTGTCACGCTTGTCTCGTTGTCACCGCTCGAGCCACGAGTCCAGCTCGATGAAGTCGCCCGCGTCACGCAGCCGCCGCGTTCCCGTCGTGCCGCTTGCGGGCGCGGTGTGCTCACGCAAGCAGTCCTTATCCAGGCGAAGCAGCTTGTGGATGGCATTTTTCAGGCGAGGCTCCTCCTCAAACAAGGCTAGCAGGCCTGCGCCGTGTCCGTACTGGTCGCTCGACGTCTCTTTGTGCTGCCCTGTGCTCTCATCCAGCTTGCCATACGTAGCGAGGCGTTCCGGGCAGCCGTGAAGGGCGCACATTCGGTCCCAGTCCGAGCCGATGGACTCCAGTCGCCCGATGAAATCAGGTCTGCGCCAGCTCCTCTCGCCAAAGATGTTGGCGAACATGAGCGCGACGTGTACGAAGTTCGGGTTCCAGTGGGATCCGTGAAACAGACTCAGGTCCAGAATGTCGCTCATCACCGCCTTTGCGAGGGACTTCGTGCCCTCGCCGACGAACAGGCTGCAGTCGTACCGGCACCGCCATCCGAGCTCTTGAGACTCACGAATAGGCCGCGGCCACTCACCGCGGGGTGTGGGTAGCGCGCCCTCTTGAGTAGGGGCGTTGCAGCACTGCTTGTATGTGCGCATCGTCGCTTCGCGATAGCCCGAGACAAAGTGCGAGAAAGGATCTCGCACGAAGGAGAATTCAAAAGCCTTGTCCACGTTGACGCTGAGCCCCTTGCTCAGGGGCCTAGAGAACACAACCCCCCCCCTCCCTTTTCTCCCAGTACACGTACTTTTAGCTTACAAACTGGGAGAAAAGGGAGGGGGGGGTTGTGTTCTCTAGGCCCCTAAGCCCTACGCGCGGCGTGAGAGCTTCGAAGCGAGCTTTGCACGGCGATCGAGGATGCGGATCTCTCTCTCTCTCTTGTACGTACTTTTAGCTTACTGGGAGAAAAGGGAGAGGGGGTTGTGTTCTCTAGGCCCCTAAGGGCCCTCTACGCGCGGCGTGAGAGCTCGGAAGCGAGCTTTGCACGGCGCTCTTTTGTACTTTTAGCTTACTGGGAGAAAAGGGAGAGGCAGGCGCGATTTCTAGGCCCTTGGGGGCCCTACCACTCAGCGCAGTCGGAGAAGCCGGTGAACGAATCTTCGGAGAGGATGGGGCTCTTTTGTACTTTTAGCTTACTGGGAGAATCTATGTATGTAGGAAGTGGAACCAGAAGATTTGGGGGGGGGGGGGGGTACGAGTTGGCGGGACGAGTTGGAGCGCGAGGGCGGCGAATTGGCACAGAGCTCAGAGCCGACCAGTCGATTGCCGTGGTACTGCGTTCGCTGCCGCTGGCTGCTGCCTGCCGCCGGCTGCCGCTGGCTGCCGGGCGCCCGCCGCAAATGGAAGACGAGGACTACGTGGTGGCGGCGGCCGCGGGGGCCTCGGCGATACCAAACTCCAAAAGGGGGCAGGATGACCGATTCGTCGCTGACCCCACTGGCTGGAGTGACGGGCTAGCCAAACCATTGAAGACGCCGTGTCGATGAGCTTCTAACTCGATCGCGTTCTCGAGATACAGCTTGAGATGTGCGAGTTGGAGTGGCCTCACGGAGTCGGCGCCGCCGCTCGGCGCTCTTCTGCTGGTTTGGCGATCCAGCGCTGCTCGTCCAGACAGAGGCTGCCTCCACTCCTGAGTTGCTCAGGCCTGGTCAAGGCCATCCACCGGCATGCTCTGGGAGCGCGGATGCACACCAGCTCGCGCTGCTGGACCCACGGTGGCTGCCTTCGGCCACCGGCAGCGCCGGTGCGACGACATGCTGGCGGCGGTCTTCCGCAAACTACTGTCAGGCAAGTGCACGACGAGATCTGACCATGGGCGCTCGCATGTGTGCTCAGGGCACCACAGGGCTGCTGCGTGACGCGTGGCTCGGCTCCGCGAGCGCTTGTGAATTTTCTGTGATTTTTTGTACTAATATAGCACTTGCAGGAGTTCACGTACACACACAAAAAAAGGAGCGCTGACCTCCCGCCTTTCACATCTCTCTGTCGTGCGAGGGAGCTGGGTTGTAAATTCTCTGTTTGGTCCGCGACGCCGCCAAACAGCCGGCCCGTCTCCTCGAGGTCAGCCGACCAGCCGACCCACTTGGCCTCGAGCGCGCCGTTGACGCGGGAGAGTCCCGCTACGACCGGCAGTAGCTCAGAAAGACGTGCCCATATCTCGCGCTGATCGTCCTCGGCTGCCGGCGGGGAGCGAGTGCCCTCCTCCTCCTCAAGCCCACGCCAGTCGGCCTCTACGCCCATGGCGCGGTAGGCCCTACCTTGGGGATCCCCTAGGTTGAGGGCGCCTGCGCCACGTGTATTCTTTTTTTGCTTGGAGACCTACCCTACCTACCCCGGGATGCTGTCCGCCCAAGCAAAAAAAGAATACACCTGCCAAAACCGGACCAAACCTGGTATGGCTAATGGGGTCCCCCACCCAGGCCGAGCCCTGTTTAGACCCAGTTTATCGTAAACAGGACTAATCTGGTTCGTGATAAACCGTGTCTAAACTCGTGGCTAAACATGGTCTAAACTGGTTCGCTTGGAACCCTCATTTTACGAGAGTTTCCAGCAACCCAGAGGGAAACCAGAGGGTCCCCAGCACTTTGAGTTTCCGGAAGTTTCCAGGAAACCAGAGGGTGTTTGGTGCTCCATTCCTGCTCCATTCTGGCAACTCTCGAGTTTCCCTAAGTCTGAGAGCTGGTTTGGGGCAAAATCTGAGGCGAAACCGAGGAAACCGGCAAACCACGCGGGTATTTTCCAGGTATACCCGGGGTTTTCCAGGTATACCCGCAAAATACCCCGGTATTTGCCGATTTGGCTGATTTGGGGCCCAAACCAGCCTCAGACTCGGCTCAGAGCCCGGGAAATTGATGATTGATTTCCACGGAGTTTCCCAAGGAAATTTCTAGGGAAACTAGCAGGAAACACGGAAAGGAAACCAGGCAGGGTGCGAGCGAGAGGAAACCCTCGTTAAAACCCCTAAACGGCTGTGGTTCCCATATGGGAACTTCGCCAATTCTGTGAAAGAGAAAGCTGATGCGGCTAGAAAGAGGCGGGCACAGTTAACGCCCCCCGGTTAAAATCCCTGTGTGGTGGCGGCGTGCCGTCCTCCCATCCCTCCCTTGGGTTGTCCGTTTTCTTTCTTTCTTTCTTTACGCCCCCCGGTTGAGCAAGGTGGACAGTTTTTTTTCGTTCCGGGCCCTCCTTCCTTAGTGTTTGTCCGCTTTTATTTTTCGTCGCACAGGACGCGGCAGAGACAGGCACAAACGCACAGTGTACAGACACGGGCACCTTCCTCTGATGCTGGCGATTTTAAATAAAGAAGACCCAATTCCAAATCCAAATACTGATGTACATGTCAAATCGCAACGTAGAGTAGTCACGTAGAGGGTGCGCAGCGTCCCTAATCTAAAATCTGAGGATTCAGGATTGAGGCATCGCTTCAGTGGGGCCAAAGTGAGTTTATGGATGTGTGAGAACGGTACGGGACGCGAGGAGTCACGCGGACCGACTCGTCGGTGACTCTGCTGCACGCCGTTTCAGAATTTTTCTCAGCGTGAGCGAGACGTGGAAGAGTGCCACCGTCGGGTAGGACGGGTCGGCCCGGAGTATCAGAGTAGCCGTCGTGGTCGCGGCGAGCAGCACCGGCCACTCCGGCGCCGCGTCGGCAACATGGGAGCATGTCCACCGCCACTTCGCGGTCGCAGCGCTGTTTGTCGCCCAAAACGCCGCTGATCCCTCTGGCGGGCCAAAGATCGCCTCGCATGTCGATTTTGACTCGACGGGGGCATGGAGGCATCACGTCTCCATGCCCCCGTCGAGTCGGAGCCAGTCTGCGGCGACCACAGCGCTCACCGCAGGGATAGGCGAGCTTTTCAGAGTCAAGCGATTGCGCGAAATCCCACACTGGTGGATTTTGGGGCGCTGCGCACCCCCTACTTAGTCAGTACAAACATGCATGTGGCATAGGAGAAGGAAGAAGGGGGGGGGGGGGGGAAGAAAACGGACACCATTCTAGGGGTCTAGGAACGGCTCTGGTTTTTATTTATTATTTTAACAGTGTCTCAAGAAAATGAAGTAAGACTTGCTTGGAGGTTTCACATCACCTTTCACCCGTACCCGTGCTGCTCTGGGCCGATCACCATCATTATCAATATGGCCCCTAGATGAGGGACATTTAAGCTATGCCTCATCAGGAGTGCTCCAAGTGCCTTAGGAGTTTCGCGCAACGGGAGCGGCGATGCTCTCGTCTACTTTGCTCTTGACCACCTGTATGGCGGGCGCGATCCACGCGCCGCAAGAGCACTGCATGCCCGCCCAATGGTAGCCACCCAGCCTGGCCGAGCACCTGGCGGTTGTGCATTGCAGGGGCGAATGTAAACGTGGAACGTGTGTGAGGCGGGGTAGAGAAGGAGGAGCAAAAATTCAGAGCGGCGCGCAACGCAAGTGGCAAGAGCGGTGAGTGACGCACCTCGGGCAGCAGATCTTGCCCTCAATCTCCGTGAGGGTGGAGGTGGCATCGGGATTCAAAAAGTGCGAGGTGCAGCCGCGGGCATCGGGCGCCGCGTCGCGCTTGCCGTACCTAGCGAGTTCAACAAAGCCGGGATTAGAACATTGGATGGCGGCATGGGTGGCTGGCACCTGGCGAACCGAAACGCGGCCTGACCCCTGCCCACCTCGTGCGTCTCGAGCATCGCAGCGGAAAAAACCGGCGTTCGGCATTTCCGGCAGCGATACCACACGTCGCGCCGAGGCGCGCCCAGGGCGCCGTCGCTGCCGTCGCCGCCCTTGCCGCTGCCGTCGACGCCGTTGCCCTCGACGCCACCATCCTCACCAGCCTCGCCAGCAGCAACCTGTGCCGCCGCCGCACCGACAAAGTCCGTCACCAGCGCCGCTGTGTTGTGCCGCCGCGGCGGGTAGACCCGCGGCGGCTCCTCGGCGGTCTCTGGCAGGGGATGCACAGGCTGCTCCTCTTCCGCCTCATTCCCATTCGCACCGTCGCCACTGCCGTTCGACTCTCCCGGGGCATCCGCTGCGGCTGCACCGCTAGCGCTAGCGGTCGTAGAGTCGCTCCTCGACGCCACTGGCGGGACCAACCAGCTCGCCGCCGCGTCACCGCCGCGCCCCTCACCCTGGCGCCCATCGCTTCTCCACGCTTTCGCCAGCTCCGCCGCCTCGGTGGCCTGAGCGGAGGACATCCGGCAGCCGGGGAAAAGCGCGCGGCAGAGCGAGAAGGCCTTGGCGACGGGCTGCTTCGCGCTCGCCGTGGCGGTTGCCGCGGTGTACGTGACCGCCAGCCAGACTGCAGGCGAAGCCGCCACGCAGACGGGCCCGCTCACGAGTACACATCCAGAGGAAAACCCGGCGTCGATCCAGTCGCACGACTCGCGCAGGAGCGCAGGCGCAGCGCCGCTCTCGAGAGCTTTTCCCGCATGTCTCACGAGGCACACCTCGGCACCTAGGCGCGAAGCTGCAGCCACGGCCGCATCCAAGGCGGACTGGAACGGATCGTCGGACTCTGCGGTGGGATCTGGGATCGCGATGAGGATGCGGCGAACGCCCAGCGCCTCCAAGAGCGAGCAGTCGGCCGAGACGGCCTCGAGATCGCCCAGGAAGAGGTCCGGCGCGAGCCGCTTGGGCACGTGGGATCGATCGCTCATGTCAACGCGAAAAAAGATTCCCGACTGCTCGACACTGGGCACGGGACTGGCGCGCACTGGCACTAACACAGCGGGAAAAAATTTCACGCACAGGTGTTAATATTCGGCTCGCCGCAGGAGGCGAAACCGAAGCCGAAACGCGGGCGGGGTGGTACGACGGTGCGCGATGGGACTTCTGGAGCCTCCCGCTGTTTTACGCTCTCTTCAGAAGTCCTTCAGCAGCATCAGGGTCGCAGGGTCGAATCGTGTCAAGCCTCTCGCCCGGCCGGCCGCGTGCAGACGTCGGCCTGTGTATCGCGCGCCTTGCCTGTGTCTGCTGTCTGGAGTGATCTGCGTTCTGTCGGCGGTCAGGCTTCACCACATGCTAGGCCTAGGGGGTGGGTGGGGCGTGAGCAGAAGTGCGCCCCCCCTCCCTGGAAGCGATGTGCGCCTGCTCTGAGATCAGCTGGCCGAGAGGTGAGCGCCTCTGCAAGCGTGAAGCCCCAGTGCCGGACCCCACATGGAGGCCGACAGCCTGGGAGGCATTTCAATCCCAAAGATTTGGAAATTTACCCCCGTCGAATAACCGTTTTCTTTCTTATTAGTGTCGGTAGAAGAAGCCCTGTCGTGCGAGGAGCTTTGTCGGAAAATTCTTTCTTATTTGTGCCAGCGCGCGCCAGTCCGCACCCGTGCTGTGAGAGAGCTGTATTCGTCAAATTCTTTCATTCATGCGTGGCATGATGACAGCGGCGAGAGAGCAACATACCTTCCCCGCCCGGCACACACAGGCACAGACAGACAGGCATCGCGCGGACCGGTGTGTATCGCGCGCCTTGCGATGGGGGGCAGAAAAACAAGGCCCCGGGGGGGGGGATTTCTACAGAAAAACTTTTTGTGCCGCCCACGTTTGGTGAGCCGAGGTTTGCCAGCCATCTCGCCCGTCGCGAGAGGCAGCAGCCAGCATGACTGAATACACTCGCCAGAGCTGCCACGTCTGCCGGCGAGCGGTGTGGAAGGACGCGGAGCAGGCGGAGGCGAATCGGGCAGTGCTCTGCGCGGCATGCTGCAAGCACTCAGAGCCGCCTCCGATATGCGGCATTTGCTTTGACCCGTGCCGCCCTGTGCACCTCGGCTGTCGGCACAGCTTTTGCGAGGACTGCCTTCGGGCGACGGCCACGGTCGCCATTGAGGAGGGCCGATCCGTCCTCTCCTGCCCGGAGCCCGGCTGCAGCCGCACGCTCGCAGAGCCGCTCCTTCGCACGCTGCTTCCCGAGGCCGCGGCCCGACGGCTGCTGGAGAACCAGAACGCGCGCACTCGCGACTGGTCTCGATCGATTCTAGAGGGTGCGGCGCTTGCGCGACCGGATGCGCCAGAGGTTAGGCTCGTCGCGTGGGCACGCGGCGGGCACGCGCAGCTCTGCCCGCGCTGCTACGTGCTGGTCGAAAAGTCGGACGGCTGCCACCACATCCAATGCCCCTGCGGACAGCACTTTTGCTTCGCGTGCGGTAAGGAGTGGGACGGCCACCAGTGCCTCGCCGAGCGGCCGCGCTTCAACTCGCAGGGCCTCTTGCCGGAGAGTGCCGAAGCGCCCGCTGCGCCGCCCTCGCTTGCCCTCGCAGCACCGCACGGCTCCTCCGCCCTGGTCGACGCTGCGAGCGCGCGCGCCGCTGTGGCGCACGCGCTGACCCTCAAGTGCCCGCGCTGCCAGCGCGCCTTTGCCATGGAGGATGACTTTGCGGACTGCTTCTGCCTTCGGTGCTCGAGCTGTCCATGCATGTTCTGCGCGTGGTGCCTCGAGGAGTGCCCGGCGACAAGCGGCGACCCGCACTCGCACGTGCTCGACTGCCCGCGCGCGCCCGCGGACATGCGCGGCCATGCCCTCTACCTCGCGGACCACAACGGAGGCCCGCACGTGCCGCCCCATCCGCGGCGCAAGTTCGAGCAGCACTGGGCCGCAGCACAGCACACCGCGCTGGCGCGGCTGTTGGAGTCGATCGGCGACGAGACGTCCGCGGCGGCGAGGGAGGTGGTGAGGGAGGCCATGGCGGCGGCGGGGGAGCGAGCTGCAGCGGCGCTCCCAGAGCGAGGACGCTAGCTCGTGTTCGCGGAGCTCGGGAGCATGTCACATGCACTCGTTCGTTTCGCGCACAAGCACGGCGCATCGGAGCGCGGAGAAAGAAGGAGGAGGCGCCCGGGGTTTTTATCTATCTAGAAATCGAAAAGGCTAGTACCATAAGGGAAACCTCCAGAATGCTGCCATATGGCTTATGGGCCGGGCCAAACGTGTTGCGTTGAAAGTGCGTGCCTCAAGTACCGCTGCGAGTCCGCGGACCCAGGTGTCAGGAACGCCGCCAGCGGCAATCTTGTAATGCGAACAGTCCACCACAGTACTTCCGCTGTTCGAATTGGAATGAGGGTCGCCCAGGCCATGATGCGCATCCGGCCGGAGCCAGGTGGGAGAAGAGACGTTGAGCATGCCAAAGTTGAGGTGTGTACCTTCCCAAGCCTTGATTGCTGCTTTGTCATACTGTCGCATCTGCAGATACATGTCCGGCATCTCAGCTGCCAACGCTGCGCCAGAGTAGCCGCTTCTCGTGGGAAAGTTGCAACTGCCGCCTGAGATCCAGTCGCCATGCCGGAAGTGGCGCGGCGCATACGACGCCCATACCACCGGACCCCGGAATTCGTGCTCCTCGAGTTTCTGGCGAACCAGCTTGATGACAGACTGGTACGCATCATACTTTCCTCTGCAGCCTGTGTGATTGGAAACGCTGGACATGCTGTCGCTGTTGCACGGACCAAACTGTCGAGTTGTAAACGTCACAGAGTGATCAAAGTGGTGCCCCGAGCCCAGCACGAGCGCACCGCACTGGCTTATGAGATTTGGGTCTGTTAGCGCATCGGCACTCACCTCGTGGCACCCAGGTGAGATTGTCCACGGCGCTGCGGCACTTGGTCTCCTCAGTGTTGCGGTATTTGGCCACCTCGCTGCGCTCGATCCACGCGCCGTCCCACCAAGTTGCACGTGGCTGGAAACGAGCCCTTCATTATGTAGCCTGCTTCGCCAGGTCGGTCTTTGAAGGCCGGTTTGTATGTGGGACTCGGGCCTTGCCAAGTGCCATGGTGATGACCGCGAGGGCTAGCAACGCTTTGATGACGAGGAAAATGCGAGGCCACACCATTCTGTTCGCGGGATCGTCGATTATGACCGACTCGGCAGAGCACACAGAGCTTGAGCGCACGAGTATTGGTGTGCTTAGACTACTCAAGGAAGACATGGCAGAAAGAGAGAGAGAGAGCTGCGGAGAGATGTGGAAGCAAAGCCGGTCGGGCAGGGCGAGCTGGTGAAAGATCCAGAGGCGGCGCGATTGACGGCGACGGCGCGGCGGTTGTGCAGTTGGACTGGCGCGGCGCTGGAGGCCACAGCGAGCTCGGGCGTTGTGTTCGGCTATGGAGGTTGTGCAAGGCCGGCGATCCTTGCCCCCAGTCCCGACAAACGTTTCGCTTCCTTGGGCCTGCCGCGCGAGTCAGCAGATCGCAAGCATCTACTCGCTCGTCCAAGTACACTCGCTCGAAATTAACACCAACACAACTGCCTCGCACAGTGGCACTGGCGCGCACTGACCACTGTCACGAACACAGCACACAGGTACACCACGACCGTAAAAAGAATTTTCGTAAACGGCCCTGGGTTACCGACTGCACTCCACGTGCTCCAAGACCACTTGCCAAGAGTAAAAAGAACAGAATTTTACAACCCGTGCCCAGTGTCGTGCGAAAAAGAATTCCCGGTGTCGATGGAAAAGAATTTACAAAAAGAACAAATGCGCAAATGGTGTAGCTGTAGGTCCGCCTCCTCCCTCGAGCCTCCTACTTGAGACAGCGCGCCGCTGCTCCGCGCGTTTCTGCGAACCAGCCCGTCGACGCGCACTACTTAGTCCGACCTCTCATGGCGCTCTATCGAGTCGGCCAAGAGAGCAAGCGCCCACTTGACCTGTATCTGTACACCTGGACACGTCCTTACCATTACGATCTGCCCGCCGCGAGAGGCCTGCCGTGAAGAGGGTCGTCCCGCGCTCCCGGCACACACACCCATTCGTTAACGTTTCATTAGTTTTGGTTGACAGAGAATCACGATGCGTCAACTGGACACACACACTCGGATCACAGAAGGTTCCGCGTTCGGGATGACCGTGGCCGATAGCACAGGCCGGGCGCACGATACGCCGCGCGGTGGAGTCGAACATCTGGCGAATACAGTTGCTGGAGTGGCTTCGACAGGGCGGGGGTAGCGTTTGAACGCTCCCTTCCAGAGTTAACGTGCACCTCAGTCACGGTGCCAATTTTCTCAAAGGCAACAACGCAGTCGCAGGTGACGTCGCCGTCATTATTCCACACGAACCACGATTGTGGCTGCATGTGCAGGAGCTGTTCTGTCCAGTTGCCCACACCAAAGCGGCCGCGTGCAAAAGCAGAGGCAACGGCGTCGTCTGAGAGAGAGAAATTGTACCGGGTAGCCTGGCCGGAATTCCTCGCGCTGTACCATCGCTCGGCGGGCTCGCGCACGACGCAAAACGACGGCCTCAAAGTGACGAGGCTGGCCCCACTTGAGTAGAATTCTCGGCGCGCGACGTCGTCAACAAAATGGTGCATGCTGGGCAGGCACGTCCCCCGAGAATTCTTGAGCGCGCACATCCGATGTTGTGCAACACTGGCCTCGACGGAAGAATTCCAGCGACGGCACTGAGAGTGCGACGACGCGGCGCACGCCGCCAGTATCGAGCTGCCCCCCGTTTTGGGGATGTGGATAAATGCGTGAGTATCAAGCGGAAAGTGCCGGACTCTCTCCTCTGGGTCGTCGCCGGCCCCTGCGCTGCACAGCGGCAGGAAAGCAAAAAAGAGCAGATCCTTGAGCTTCTTGCCCGACACTCCGTACGTCGAGTGGTGCACGGCGTCCTTCTCGTCGCGGACAAGGTCGAGCCTTCGCCCATCCGGCCGACCCTCGGCGGGAGGCTCCAGAACTCCCATCGTGCTCCGTCGCACCACCCCGCCTGCGTTTCGGCTTCGGTTTCGCCTCCTGCGGCGAGCCGAGTAGTCTATCGCACTCCTTCACCTTTTCCTTCCTGGGGCAGGACGGGGTGAGGTGGTGAAGACGTGTCGACAGCAGGCGGCAGGTAACTGTGTGGCGTGTTTGTGCGTGTCAGATTCGCGAGGCACTGGCGGCCACGACAAGATGGCGTCGCGGAGTGATTATTGTGGGCATGTAGGTGCAGGGCGTGCCTTGGCAAAGCGAGATAGAGACGCGCAGAGACACCTTGCAAGGGTGCCCGGCGCGGTTGCCGTTTCACACCTTGTTTTTATCTACCAAAAAGAGGGCTACACCTTGTTTTAAACTCCACAACTCTTGTATTTGGTTGAAAACAATACTTCAGAGTGCTGCAGCACTTGGAGCACTTGAAGTGCAGATGGCAACCGCACACCCAGGGCCGGGGAGCTAAGAGCGCACCCCAGCGGGCCGGATGATTGGTTGGTATCGGGTTGCAGGCAAGCGAGCCCTACTGTACAACTGTAGGCAGCCTTAGTGAAAAATGGCGCAAAAAAACTGAAAAATCGGGCCTGCGGCGGGCTGGGGGACCCCATCTCCCCCCCGCGTTGGTACCCCCTCTAGGGCCCCCGCCTCCCCCCAGAGGCCCTTCCCGCTTCCGCCTTCGTGCAGACAGCAGACGTGCACGAGAGAGAAACAATCTTGCGGTTTGCGCGCGCCGCCCGGCCGCGCGCCGCCCTGCGCGCTGCGGCAAGTGTGTGTGTGTGTTTGGCCGAGCTGCCTCGGCGTAGGCGTTGCCCGCGGCGGCCTGCTTTCTCTTTTCGCACAAACACGATTGAACGTACTGACGAGTCCCAGAGTGGGCGCGCACAAACTGTGAGACGCACACCGAACGACCACCGTGTCCACACGACCCACCTTTCCCCCTCTCCTGGTTACACGCGGCACTGCGCTACTGCTTCCACCGGTAGGCGCACTTGGTGCACATAAAGATCAGCTTCATCCCCTCGTCCGACTTCATCGGCGCCTGGAAGAAGACAGCCTCGGTGTGGCCGCACGAGTTGCACTCTGTGCCCGAGGCGCGCGGCAGCGTCGGGTCGGCGACGGTGTCGGCGCCCGCCTCGCTCAGCCCCCCCTCGGGCCTCATGTCGTTCACGTGCACCAGGTTCGAGTCCGCGTCGTCCAAGCGCATGCAGTGGCGGCACTCGCGCTTGAGCGTGCGCGACGCCTTGTCCTCCTTCGGGTGCAGCATGTTGCCGCACTCGGGGCAGATCCAGAAGGGCGTCTGGCGCGAGGCCGAGCCGTTGTCGGTTATCAGCCTAGCCGGCCCGCCCTGCATCGCACTGTGGGCTGCGCAACGCGCTCGCGCCGGCGCTCACCGAGCTAGGGTTCCGGCTCCTAGCCGGATAGGGGTTCTCCCATATCCTTTGGCCGCGTTGGGTAGCGAGGATAGGGGGTCAAACGGACAAGAGGTAAGTGTTTTAGTGCTAGGTGCAAGAAAAGAATTTCGCCGCTCTCGCGCCTTAAAAAGAGTTTGAAGCAAAGCCTCGCATGGCACAAAATGAGAAGGATTTCTTGTTGGTTTTCTAAAATCTCTCTCAAAACAGCCTAATAGAAGCCGTCGTCCTCACAGAAGGCGTCGTCCTCACAGAAGGCGTCGTCGGAATGGCAGTCAGGCGGATGGTCAAATCCGCGAGCACCGTGGGGTGCTCGCCGAAAAGACCATCCCCGCCTCCTTCCACTCCCCCCCCCCCCTCTCGCTCCCGCCGCGCCCCCCGCCGCTCCCCGCCGGCGATCGTGGCGGGACTTCCCCAGAAAAAGAATTTAAACAAAACAACTCGCTCTCACAGCAGACAAGCTCGACACAGGTGCGGACTGGCGCGTGCTAGCACTATCACAGAGCAAAAAGAATTTTACAACAAAACTCCCTAAGGCCACGACAACCCTATTCCCCACGTCGATCAACCGCCACTGCCAATAGCCGTGCCAGGGGGGGCCTGTGAAGTAAAGAATATGCCGCTGCGATTCGCTGACGTATATATTGCGACCGTCGTCGGTTTGACCGTTGGGAGAAAAGATTCCTACCGCACCGGCAGCGACAAGGGTTGCTGCGCCGCCGACGATCACCTCGGCGCACGGGCAGGACGGGGAAGAGGCGGGCGGTGGCGGCGGACTCACAGTCCACCAGGGCGGTGGGGATGGTCGCGGCGGGCTCAATATCCACCAGGGCGGCGGCGGTGGCTGAACGGTCAGAGACGATTCGCATGCGTTGGTGCCGTCACACCGCTGTGGCTCTCGGAAGCCAACCCAAAGGCAGACGCCGCAAACGATACAAGCGGCGAGGATGAAGAAGCAGCAACACATGCCCCGCTGGTTACGGCTCGCTTGCGCGTTGACGTGCAGCTGCCGCTGTGTTGGCACAGCGAGCACCACAGCTGGATCGTTTACAGCGAGGCTTGGAACCTCACCGATCACTCGTGCAAGGCGCTCGTGAGCGTCCGAGGGCGCCCTGGTAAGCGTGCTTTCGGAATGGCCAAGTTGACCGAAGCGTGAGGCGTCGCCGTACGACGGTGGAGGCACGTCGTCGTCTGATTCCTCTTTGCTGACTGATGAGGGCATGTATTCAGCAACGACTGAGACAGGGCGTGGCAGGATGGGACGCTGATAAAGCGAGCAATTTGGCGATCAGATCAGAGAAGAAATCCCCGCTTGTGAGATAGGGGTGTGGCACGCAACAGTTGTGGGTTTATTATTAGAACTAGGTGAGCGCCGAGCGGGCCGGAGTGGAAGCGAACCAATGAACGAGAACGTTTCCCCGCAGGCGAAAAGGACAAGAGACGGAATTTGCAAAAGCGAGGAAATCACTGGTGGCCGTCCACTCTTGCCCGCAACCCGTCCCCGAGCATCTGGCCCGCTGGATGCGCTTCTTAGCTCCCCGGCCCTGGATGTGAGGCTGCCAACTGCACTCCAAATGCTCCAAGTGCACCCTCGCTCGCGCTCGTGTCACGTGTGCCTTCTACGACTTCAAGGGAAGGAACGCGCTGCGAGGCACTTTATCTCTTTCTTTCTTCCAGGCAGGTTTCGGGGAAAAGGCCCGGGGCCGCCGTTTTTGCCGTTCGGTCAAATTTAGGCGGCGGCCAACCCGGTCTCTGCCCTCGTACCTCTCTCTTGATTCCCATGACTTCAGGTGTTAAGAATGCGGGTAAGCGGGTCGGTGCGAATGTTGTGGGCGCAATGTTGACAGATCAAGTCCTCGATACGGTTAATGCATCTGATAATGAATATTTTCGAGATATTGCCGATGGCGCTGGTGGTGGTGGACTTGAAGCTGCCTTATTTGCCAGCAGTGGGGCTGCAGCGGCTGAGACAATGGGTCTAAGCGTATTAGCTGCGAGTGGCGCCGCAACGGGTGGGTACCTTTCGAATGAATTGGGAATTAAAGGAGCTGGAAAGACGGCGATCGAGGTAGGGGGTGGCGCGTTAAATACTGTTTTGGGAGTTGTAGCGGCGTCCAATCTGTATAACCCAATAGGCTGGCTCGCTGCGGGCGCTTTAGGATTTGAAGCACTAGAAATTAAAAGTGGAATTTAAAAAGTGTCAAATTTACACACTCGGTAACAAATTAGGGAAGAGTGTAAAAATTTTGATATGAAGCAATACAAGTCCACGGAGCCTTCCCGAACCCACCGAACGACTCGAACAGCAGCAGCTGCACGTCGACGTCCTTGTCCCCCGCTACACATTGGGCTAAACCCCACCTGGCTTCCTCCCGCTAAATAACGCAAGAGTTCTCTTGCACCTCGAAGCGCAGAAAGGCTGCGAACCTCCTCTCCCATCTGGCGCTTGCGTCGGGCAGCGTGGGCGCGGCATCCGGGACGGATGCGGGCCGCTGTCTCGCGGGATCGCTGGAAGCCGCTCGGCTCCCCACGCGCCGCCGAGCTGCGATGGCGCAACCGCAACGGCTGCCCCTCCTCGGCTCCCGCCCCGGGGCTGCCGAAATAGGTGCCCCGAGCCACCGTTTGCAACATCCGCGCGGATCGGCGGCGCTGCCGACGCCCCCCCGACCGGCAAACACCACCAGAAGGGCGGTGGTGAAAGCAGCACCTCTCAAATGTCGTCGTCGTCGCGCAGTTCCCTAGTGTCCGCTCGGCGGCCGGCGGCGGCCGGCGGCCAAGAATCCGGATTTTCGTCTCTCGACGCGAAGATATGGTCCCGAGTCTCACTACTCGCCCCTCCATCCTGTAGGTCCGGACCTTGCCTGCTCAGTAGCCGCGATGAATCGTCGCCCTCATCGTCCGCGGTCATCCTTTCAGCCTCAAACGGGCCAAACGACTGTCTCGCCATCAGCCATCTCGCCTCTCGCGGTCGCGTCACGCCTTCCCTCGTGCCGCGAGTAGGCGCGTGAGTGATGGCCCTGCCGCCAGGTACACGGCTACACCTCGGGACGCCGTGCTGAGACGGGTAGAGCCGCCCCGCGGGAGCGAAAGCCGCCTCGCGCGCCTCAGCCCGCCGGGCCCCTCGGCGGCCAGTGTGGGGTGGATACGGCGGTGATAAACCCCTCTGACAGCAGCGCCTCACGGCGTGGGCTGCGAGGTCACTCGGGGTGACCCAGGGGGCGGCGGGGGAGCACTATCCCGCCGGAGCAGCGGGTGATATTCCCGCTACTCGCTCGAGTTTGAGGTGCGCCGCGCCTCCCTGTGCTGCCTTCCCGGCTGCCCCAGCCGCCCTCACCGTCCTCATCCCCTCCCCCACCCCCTCCCCCTCAAGGCTAGGCCCTCGCCACCGCCGCTGCCGCTGTCTCCGCCACAGCCGCCGCTGTTTCCCTCCCCCCCACCCCCTCCGACGCCGTCGCCTCCGCTGCTCCCGCCACCA